TTGTTTTTGTTTGAAAATGATAAAAATAATAAAATAACAAATAATGAATTCATATCTTGCTTCTTTGACAGTGGCACGACTTGAAACTGAACGGGTGACTATTAAACCTCTTGTCGATCAAAGTTTATTTAAATGCGACTATATTGACTGTTTAAGTCATTTTCGAGAATTTTTCTCGATTTTGCGATTTTGATACTTTTGAAAATGTATTTTAGACATATTTTGTTTATTCAACACTTATTTTCTTTAAGATTTATTTTTCAAAGTCGGAACAAACAAAAATGTCTTTTCGTCTTATCTTTTTGTATCATAAAAAATAGTAAAACCCAATTTTTAAATTATTGTATTTTTCAAAGTTTACAAAAAAAATCTATTTAATTTCCCTTGTAATTGTTTTTGAGATCAATTGCATATTGAAATTTCAAGATACCTCAAAGTCTGTTATTTATTTTCTTTTTTTGTTATTTTATGATGCAATTGATTTTGAATATTCCAGACCAGTATGTTTTATGATGCAGTTTGGTCTTTGTTATATTTTATAATTAATTTTATTATAGTTTAGTTGTGGACATCTCAATAAATTTTTGATCTGACTTTTCCATTGAACTGTGACTTGTTTCTGAAAGATCAAGCAAAAAATGAAAATTTGTTCATCCCAACTTCAACAAAAAATTCACTTTTTTACTATAATTTATAATTTTTTACTATAAAATTTTACCAGAGCCGTAGTTCCAGGGTGTCTAGCTTTTTTTGAAAAAATTAAAGAAATAAAGGTCACATTTACATTAAAATTGACTAAAATTTTGATTTTTCCTGTTTTCGAAGGGTTAAGGGTTCATAACCGATATTTATTCCAAAAACTTTATTTATTGACATAAATAGGTTATTTTTTGTTATTTGGTTTTGTTTTTCAAAATTATTTTTTTGTTTGAAATCTTAGTTTTTTCAATTAAAACTTGGACAAATTGACTAAATTAATTTTTTTACACTCATACATTGAATATTACAACAGAAAACGTGCTGTTGTTGTAAAAAGCGGTTGGGTAAATCTTTTGTTGTTTAAAATTAAAGATACAACAAAATAATTTGAATTTGACAACAAAACAAATCATAATCAAAAAAACACCGCGTTTGGCAGTGTTTTTTTGTAGTTCAGCAGTCGAGTAAAAGTTATTAGAAATTGTCCTAACAGCGTGAAGTCTGTTTGCTCACTGAAAGAGCAATCAGAAAAAATGAAATGATTGGCTAAATGACTTTAACTCCATTTATGTTTTTGGTTTTGTTATTGGAAAATAGTTTAAATGATAGTAATATTTATTAAACATCCCAAATCTTTTTTTTCAAAGGAAAATAAAGAAATAAAGTTTCCAAACTGACTTTATATAAAAAAATATATATTTATATTATATTTATTAAGACATATGACTGGATGAGACCCATCCACTGGAAACATGTATCTATTTTTTCAATCCACTTGACAAACCACTTTTTAATGGAAGGCAAAAATAAATTTAAATATAAATAGATTATTCATTTTTTATGTAAATAAAAATTTATTTTTCCGATTAATTTGTATTGATTTTTGTAAATTAAAAAAAATAAAGAAAGGTTTAAATATTAAAATATTAAAATTTGTATATTAATTATACAATAATTTTTTATTTAAATGAAAAAAATGTAAGAAGTATAATAAACAAATTTTAATATGTTCTTAAAAAGTTGATTTTTGTGGCTCTTATAACAAATAAAAAAGATCTATTTTACATATGAAACGTTTAAACATCACGCACAACAACGAAAATTTTGACTTTTTAAAACAAAAAATAGAATTGTTTGATAAAAAAGTCAAAGAAATGGCAAAGAAACATTAAAAAACAAAATTGAAAAAATCAAGAAAAAAGAAGCCAAAAAAGAAGTCAGAAAATACAACGAGAAAATACCAATTCCACTGGGTTTAGAGTTTAAAAACGACGTTCAAGATGTTCCAAAATCCACTCTACCATTAACCTGTCGATTACCTTTTGAATATAATCATATATTGAATGAAGAAGATGTTGAGTTAATTATAATTAGTTCAAAAGAAAAAGTGACAAAAAAGACACCAGAAGAAATACTTAAAAGATTAACAATGGAAGAAGACTATTGTAAATTTGAAAAAAATGAAATTGAAATGGAAAACAAAGAAGAAAAAATAGAAAGAAGAGATGTAATGGATGGTATAGTTAATGATAATGTCCAAATGAAAGCATTGAGTGGCTTGACATTTTCACAATTTGATGAACTTCACAATATAATCAGATCTTCAGAAGTTGAATTTGTTCCAAATTGTGATTCACTTTTAAATAAGTTTGTGGTTCACTCTGAACCAAAAATAGAACACAAAAAAGGTTGAATACAAGAAGTCTTTTATTTATTTTCTTGTTTATTCTAAGAGCGGGGCTTAATTATATACTCACATTTGTTCTTCTTAAACTTGAACGGTTCTCTCCAAATAGAGAAGCCGCCCCCAAAATTGACATCAATAGCACCCAAGTAGAAATAGAAATATATAAAAAATGGAAACATCGTTATCATAATAGGATGTCGTCATATGTTAGTGGGCAAGTCCTTCGTTTTTTTAGACTTTTTGAAAACAATATTTATAAAAATATGATATTAAATATTGCTTCAAATCCCAAAACCTTTGTATCATTTGCAGTTGGCCAAAATGCCAGTATTTTAAGATCATTCGAAGATGCTGCAAAAGTATTCGCTGCTGTTGATTCTAAAACAATAGTCACTAATGCCACAAGAGTATTGCATAAAACACAGGATAACAGGATTGTCAAAATAAGAAGTCCAGTGTTTTATTCTGTAAAAACAAATTCATCTGGTATGAAATTTGAAACTGTAGTTAATAGAAATGGTTTTGTGGTAATGACTACAGTGTGTAAAGCATCTATTTCAGATGTCAAGCTTTATGCTTGCAACCAAACATGTTTTGGTTTTGGAGATGGTTTAATATTAGGAGATAAAGGGTACACTTCAAAAGGGTTGACCAAAGTTATCGTACCATTGAAAAGAACAGAAGAGAAAATGATGAAAAACGATATAGTTTTAATTATTCCCACACCATAATGAGAAATATTGTCGAAAGGAGTTATGGAAGAATGTGTCAATTTTGGAGGTTTTTTAGAATGCCGTATCAATTTGACAAAGATTTGTTTGAGCACTATCTTCGTTGTGCTTGCGCCATTTTTAACTTTATGTTGACACATTACCCGATTACTGATGATTGTAATATTGAAAATACATATAATTTAACTAGTCTTTTTGATAAAAATATTGGAATTTATGAAAATGACCAAATGGAATTACTTGATGTTGATCCATTAGAATATGACAAACACAAATAAGGTGATCACGATACACCTTTGAGTGATAATTTGTTTCATTTTATTTTTGAAAATGAAAACCAATGTTGTAAAATAGTTCAGAATGAAAAATATGGTGAATTGAAAGACAGCATTTGTTCAATAAATGAGACATTTGAATTAATTAAAGAAGAAATTAAAAACAACAAACAACCATTAATTGACAAAAAATCACTTGTGTATTTAATGAATGACGCAAAGAAAAGAATTGATGAATCAATAAAATTTATGTTTTTTGTAAAACAAATGTGTTCATCCAAATGTTTGTTTTTCGAAAGTGAAAAAATAGAAATTTCTACAATTAGTCAAAATATTGATGAGAGTAAAATAAATAGTGACTATTGTGAAGGAACACAACTGATTCCCAAAGATACAGAGATTGTATCATCAGATTCTGAACTCATCACAACACCAACTTTTAAATCCAAAATTAAAACAATTGATAAAGATCGGTTTGTGTGTGGTATGTTGAATTTAAATGATATTTCTTATGGAGCAGAGTGGATAATAAATAACACATCTTCAGAAGAGTGTTTTTTGTTCGATTGTTCTTTTACTTCTACTTGTCGTCTCGTTAAAAAGATTAATTCAAAACAAATAAATGAACACATACGAAAAAGTCATATATTGTTTTTTCCTTCATTTGTAATCAACAAAGAAAAAGAAAATTACAATACCGTTGGTCATTGGTTTCTTATAATTGGAATTATTGACAATAACGAACTATCGTTATTCAAACTCGACAGTTTGAAGAATTATTCGATTTGTTGTAGTGATCAAATTAAACAACAAGTAGAAACAATCAAAAACTACCTATGCCACATCGGAATAGTAATTGATAAAAATAAACCAATTAATGATATAAACGTGGCTCGACAAAAAGATGGGACAAGTTGTGGTCGGTACGTTTTGTATTATATGTTTAAAACAATAGAATACTGTGGAATCGTACAAGAATTGCTTGAGCATGTAGAACAAAAAGATATTAATACCTTTGTGGAACGCATTTTAATGTCATTTTAAATTAACATTTTTTATTTCTGTTGAATAAATTATTTGATATTCAATGAACAAAACAAGCTTTTTGGTATTTTTGAAAAAAGAAAAAAACAAATCTATTTTTATGAAATTTTTGTGTTCCATTTTCGCTATCCAGTGATTTTATGACATCCAGTCATACGTCTTTACTCATATATAAATATTTATATTAACACTTTAAATAACATTGAACAAAATTCAAATGGTCTAAAAATCGGGAAATCTAGAGTTTATTAAATAAATTTCCGTTTTTTTAGAGTTTATATTATGTGCATAAACAATACACAAGCCAAAAAAGGAAAATCATCAAAATTTAGATTAATATCCCAGGAAAAACAGGTCAAAACAAAAATAAGGGCGTTATTTTAAGTGTTAATAAATATAATATATATTTTTATTAATATTTATTTATATCAATTAATATATTATATAATAATATAATAATATATATAATATATTAATATAATAGAGAGAATTATCAGACAATAGGAATAACATCGAATTGAGATAGATAAGTCTTGACTCAACAGAAATGGGTTAAACAAAAGATTATACTCTGAGTGCCTGTACCTGGTTTCCAACTGATGCACAAACCCATTCCGAGTATATTTTAGACCACGAAATGTTATTTACTTCTGCTTCTGCCTCATATTGTAATACCTGTGGTTCACCGCCCTCCTTAACTGGTGAGATGTCCCAAATGAGTGCCTTATGATCGTCACTAGCGCTGCAGAGAAAGTTCGAGTCTGGAGCCCAACTAATTGCGTTGACACTATTTCGATGGACCTTCAAATGGGTATAAGGGACTGCTGGTTGTCTTACATCGATGATAGTGACTTTATCTGAGTCCATTGCGAAGGTTGCTATGAAATTTGGGTCGACTTTATTCCACTCGAGTCTTAAGAGTGGGACGAGACCTTGAGACTCATACAATATAGTAGAGTGATCGAGTGCTCTAAGATCAAACATTCTGAGTGACCCGTCACCCCCGACCGTACCGAAGATGTCTGGATTTGCCGCGAACGAGACGTCGAAGACTTCCTTATCATGCGCGATCAACTTTTTGACGAGTTGTCCTGTTTCTACGGACCATACTGAGCAGCACGAGTCAATTGAACAGCTGCAGACACGATCGATGTTAACGGTGTTCCAGTCGAAAGAAGTCGACGGTGCGAAAGTTTCCGTTGAAGGATGGAGGGATGTTTTTAAGCGAAGAGATGATGAGTCTTGAGAGACTTCATATATCCTCAAGTTATCACCAGACGTCATTAACAAGTCAGGAACTGTACTTTGCGTTGGAGGCATAAACATCACTTTTGTAGGGGGATAGGGTTGGTCGATTTCAGAGGCCTTCTCCAACGTTTCAGTCGTTGGGTTAAATTGAATGATTTGGATATGGTTGATATAATCATCGATAAATGAGGTGCATGCTATACGCCTTGGTTTATCTAAACGATTACTCCAGGAGACTGAATATACCGTCCATGGGGCTTCGTATTTGTATAACGATTTTTGGAACGTCTCGTCCATTGCCATCTCGCTATTTCTTAGTTTCTAAATTTTTTTTTTGTTTTTTTACTTCAACTGCTTTTTATTTTCGAGTTGGTATTGAACTGACGTCTTTCTGTATTGAATTGCACTCTTCTTTTTTTCTTCGAAGAATTTGTCTTTCTATAGATTGGAAGTATTGGTTCATTTTAAATTCAGTTTGGTTTTTTATCATTAAATATGTTGCTTGAAATTTTATTCACTTCCGTAAAACTGGTCAATTGTTTAGGTTTGTGTGTAATTTGGTTAATTATTGAAAAACTATAATAAAGAAAGAAGAATGTCAACTTCTTTTTACCAAAACTAATTAAACGCCTATATTATTAATAATAATTTGAAAGAAATAGAAATAATAATTAAAACAAAAAAACTTGAAAAAAACGGCAATTTTCTTGTATTTATCTTAATATTTATCTCAACATATTTAAAAGAATAAAAAAAAATAATTCGGCATTTCAAACAAATTATTCATATTAAATAATAGTAGAATTAAAACTAAAATAAAACTATAAAAATCTAATTACATATCACTGAAGAAATGATGATTTGATAAATCTCAAAACCGAATGTCGCAAAACGAGCACGACCTTTCATCGAGCAATTTTACAGCGTGCATTTCATCAAAAATGATGGAGATTTTGGACGGAAAGTTGGACTATGAAAATGAACAAATGGAAGAGTTTTACAATTCTCCCGACTATGTTTCAGCACACCACGACTCCGAGATTTTATCATTAATTCATCAAAGTAAAAATGAGATAGAAGATATCAATGTGCGAATCGCACAACAAGAGAAACAGTTACAAGACATACAAAATGAAATCCAAATAAATAAAGAAACTATTGAAAATGAATCAAAGCCATTACGTGTGATAGAGACTTCCCTTCAGACTGTCTTACACAACAAAGAAATCACCATCACACAAATCGATGAAGTTCAAACACAAATTGAAGATGTGATGAGACAAATCGAATTAACAAAACAGCAATTAGCAGAGTCCCAAGACAATTTATTCCACTCCGAGAAGCAACGGAAAGTTCTTCATAACGAGATGATGGAGTTGAAAGGTAACATCAGAGTCTTCTGTCGTGTTCGTCCAATCATATTCGCCCCTTCCGCAACAATGTATGTCAAAGAAAATTCTATAGTTTATCAACAGACGGGGTTTTCTGGAAATGTTGAGAAGCTATCATTCACCGTTTGCTCTTCTATAGTCATGTTATATATCAGACTGTTGTCTCTCATATCATATGATGTTGAAACGCATTCTAATAACACACTAATAGTATTTTTACTATCATGAAACGATATAAAAATAGAACACAATTAACTATACTTTATTAATAAAAATAACATTAGATATAGTTTAACTATACTTTATTAATAAAATATTATTATATATAGTTTAGATACTCAATACTAGTTTGACCGGATTTTTAGCTCTTTATCTACACAAGACGATGTCTTCTCCGAGATCAGTCAGTTGGTGCAATCGAGTTTGGACGGGTATGAGACGTGTATATTTGCATATGGACAGACAGGAAGTGGGAAGACATACACGATGGAAGGGGAGGAGAGCCATCCTGGGATGATACCACTTGCAGTCTTGCAGATCTTTAAGACGATTCGAGACTTGGAGAAGATAGGGTGGGTATACAAAGTGTCTGTCCGCCACATCGAGGTCTACAACAATAACATCTTTGATTTGTTGATCAACGGTCAGAACTCTGCGAAGCTGCAGATCAAGTACGACAAGGGCAAAATTGTTCTCCCCAATGCCACGAATGTAGTTGTGGCGAATGAGTCTGAAATTTTCAAGCTTCTTCAAATAGCGCACCGAAACCGTTCTGTCGCCGAGACGGAGTACAACACGACATCGTCGAGGTCACATAGTATTTTCATTCTCGAATTGTGTGGGGAGAATACTGAATTTAATCAAAGGCGCCTCGGAGGCTTGACTTTAGTTGATTTAGCTGGGAGCGAGAAGTTGAATCGGACGATAGGTATTGAGCGGGTGGAAGAGACGAAGAGCATTAATGTCTCATTGTGTGCATTACGTGATGTCATTGCTGCGATCAGTTCCAAGGCGTCTCATATTCCTTATCGCAATTCCAAGTTAACGGAAGTCCTTCAGAATTGTTTAGGGACGAATAGTAAGATGTTAATGTTTGTGAATGTCTCTCCTGACGAGCGTGATATCTTAGAAACGATCTCGTCACTTCGGTTTGCCACAACAGTTAATAAGTGTAGTGTTGGTGTCGTTACACGTAAACTTTAGTATCAAGTGATTGTTATTTATCTCTTCCAAATCATCATTCTATATTACTATATATTTATAATTAATTACTATTATATTTACTATCGATTTATACTTAGCATATATTCTATTTATTTACTATATAAATAGGTTTTGAAGTCTTGTTACAATTCTCTGAGCGTTGTGGTGGAAGTGTAAAGCAAAAACACTTGAAACTTCAATAAAAACTTACTTTTGTGGGCGCATCTTCCCGTTCGCCGCCATATTCTTCATGATGACATCAACTGCAAGCATAAAGACTCGTTTGATGTTTGACCCATCAGTCGCGTTGGTCAAGTTTGTGTAGACCTTTTCAGAGACGGCACCTTCGATATTCCCGGTCTCTGCACCAGAAACAACCATCTCTTCAGCTTGTAACTTCCCAGTGAACAGTTGTTGAATATACTGAGCACCCATCACGGAGTTATCGCCACCAGTATAATCAGGGAAGATCACATTTAACGCCGTTTTCGTCAGTTTTTCCTCAAACAAATCCATCTTATTCAAGAAGATCAATTTGACTGCATTCTTCAAGAACTCGTTCGTCATGATATCCTTAAAGACGGCAACAGACTCAGTGAGTCGAGATGTGTTCCCATCTTCATACAGTTTCATGTCGTACTCCGCAAGTGATGTCACAAAAATCGCACAGTCGACATCACTGAAAAAGGAGACCCATTTCTTACGTTCGGAACGCTGTCCTCCAACATCAATCAAGTGAAACGGAATATCCTTCACAGTAAAATCGTACTCGTGAATACCAGTCGTCTTCGTACGATTGTGGATCAAATCTTCTTCTGTTGGTATGTAGTCGTCCGTCGCAATCCTTTTGACATTCTCAAACAAACTTGATGTTAATAGATGTTAATATATGTCAACTATTTAAAGTATACCATTTTTATAATTTAATAAACTATATCATTTACTAAAATACTAAAACCCAATTTGAATAGTTCTTTTAACCATTTAATACATTATAAATTTCAATATTCGAAATTCAGAAATAAATAGAATACATTTACTAGAAAACAAACTATTTTGCGCAGTCCGGGATTTGGAACTTGGAGGATTCTTCGAAAGTGGCTTGGATACCGGCATCAGCCCAAAGAGCTTCCACGTCTCCAACGAGTTCTGGAGAGAAAGGAAGAGCGACGGGGTCTTCTGTTGTGAACTCTTTAGATGTTGGTTTATATGTGAGTGGATGGTTAAGGATACCAGCCTGTTCGATTAAGGTACGCATACAGGTGACCACATTTGTGCAGATAGATGTTTTGTACGAGGAACATTCGTTTTGAGTGAACCCTCCGCCGAACAGGATTTTGAGTTGCTTTGCAATGGTAGACTTACCACTTTCTCCACTCCCAAGCAGCATAATAGTGATTGGTTTACTCTTTGCCATCTCTACGATTTGTTTGTCGATGCTGTTGTCTTTGCTTGCTCCACAGCCCATTCTTTTAGTTTTCAAAGTTCTTCTCTATTTTTACTTTTTTTTATCTATTTTCGCCAATTTCGATTCACTTCAAGTCGGTATTTGCTGTATGATGGCATCTTTCTCTTTTCGTGACTTTCTACGTCTCATTTTTATTCTTGAATTGCAGTGGTTTTTTTGTTATTTGAAATAATATTTCTTTCTAATATTTCTTGAATTTGAATTGAAAAAAAACCACAATCAATTCATCTATTTATACACGGCATCTGGAGTCAATTGATGTCGGCACTTGCCCGATTATTTAGCTAAATTTAGACTACCAAAACCTTAAAGAGGGTATTTCAAGTTGCTAGTTCTTTTTTTCTAATTCGTGGTGTTTTTTTACTTACCCTTTTGTTCTTATTTTTGGTTAAGTTTTTTTCAATTGAGTTCTAATAATAATAATAACTATTGGTATTAGTATTTAAAAAATGGTATTATGTACTATATTATTACTATATTTATTATTACTATTATGCTTCAAAATCAATTTACTAGAATATTACTAATAGTTATTATAAATATATAGTACAAATTAACCAAATGACTCCATCAATCAATTCAATTCTTCGCATAGCTGTTGTGCTTTGGTACAAAGACATAATCCTTTGGTGCTGGTCCCAAGAACATTTCAGTGATTTTTACCAAGTTTTCAATCTTGTCGGAAGCGAGTAATTCCTCCATCTCATCTTTGTATTGCATTCCTTCTTCGAACTTTGAATGGATTGAGATCTCCTTTTGTTTATCGACCAAGCAGTGGACTGGGACATATCTTGACATGAAAGTGAGGTGATGACACATGAATTCTCGAGTCGTTCCGACACCTTTAGAATCGCTTCCCCAGTGGTTCAGTCCGTCAATAGCAAATTGTTTGAGCATTTCGATTCTCTCGCTTGAAGTGATATCCCAATTCCTCTTCTCTTTAATTTCAGTGAAGATCCATGGCTTCATTAAAGCACCTCTTCCTATAGCAACAGACTTCACTCCAGTGCTCATAGCTTTTGTATAATCGTCATACGTATAAATATCACCAACACCAACAACAGGGCATTGAGTCAATCCACAACACGTCTGAATATAATCCCAATCCGCACTCTTAGTGTATCTTTGCTTTCGAGTTCTCCCATGAATCGATAACATCCCACATCCATAGTCTTCGACAAATGGCACTAAATTCTTGGCTATAGTTATCTCATCACACCCAGTGCGAACTTTTAGTGCAACGGGACGCTCCGTGACCCCTCGAGCTGCCGCTAACAAACCCGCTATCTTCTTTGGTCGCTCCAACAGTCGTGCACCCATCCCAGTGTCGCAAACTAAATCAATGGGACACGCACAATTGAGCTCATAGAAGTTACAGTCAAATCCATTCAATAAACTAATCGCCTTCGCGCATTCAACGGGGTTGCCAACACACAACTGAATACCAAAATTGTCCTCCAACGGGTCTTTTCGAATAAGAGCCCAATCACTCTTATTCCCTTCGACAAGGGCGTTTGCCATCACCATCTCAGACATGGTGACGTCGCACCCATATCGCTTTGCCGTCTTTCTGAAAGGCAAATTGCCGAAGGTACACAGCGATGGCAGAATGAGTTTGTTATCCATAGTCATAAGCTTTTTGGAAGGAGTTTCGAAGGTTGTTGGGATGTCGAAAAGGTATTCTCCTTTACGTAAGAGGTGAATGTTAGGTGGGTCTTGTTTGTTAAGTTCTGGTAAGATGGGGTGGACTTTCATCTTCTTTTCCTTCGTCATCTGTTTGAAGTCTTCAGTAGTGTGCGACTTATACCATTGACATGTTAAGCCACTCTGACACTTTCCAAAGTAGTCGTAAAGTGGGCAGACGGTGTCTAAAGCGTCGGTGCGTTCATTCAAGAATTTTTGAATGTCGTGAGAGTACTTACAATTCTCACGGGTGCACTTTCCACTGCGGAAGAATTCAAGACAGATGGATGGTTGCTTTGCTTTCATCTCTTGCATACGACGCTTTTTGGAGCGTTTCGATGTGGGGTCCGGCATTTGGCGTTTACGACAACACTTTTCAGTGTGAGGTTCTTCTGGTTTACATTTCTCTTTGGGTTCGTCGGCTTCAACAGACTTAACTGGTGCAGGTGGGGTGACTGGTGCTTCCACTTTTTCTTTTGGTTCTTGTTTACTGGTGTTGCTCTTTTTTGGCATAGGTTTAACTATATTTGTAGTTTTTTATTATTATTTTAATATTGATCAAACCCTTCAAATCTTTTATTTCTCTATTCTTTTTGAACCATATGATGTTAATTGTGTTGATACTTATTAATAGTTTCTATTTGGTATGCAATGGAAAATGTCATATATTATATCAATAATATATAAATAAATGTATTATAAGTAGTATATAGAAACAATAGAATAATCAATTAATAAGAAATTAGAAGAAAAACAGCAGAAGGAATAGAGTAAATACAATTCCTAATAAGTGTGAGGAGTCTTCAGTATCTTCTGGGCATTCTTCACTGATACTTGGCATATTGTTGGTGTCTAATAAGAGTTTTTGTAAACATAACGTAAAAGTTTCGTTACTTGAGAAAGTGATATGAGAGACTTGAGACGAGTTATTAATAGTAAAGAAAACATTACTTTGTGTTGAACTAAAGAAGGAGAAATTATATCGGAAGTTTTCAGAACTAATTTCACATCGAACTTTCTCTGATGTACTTTTCATCACATTTCCAACAATTTGAAGAGTGTGATATGATGGAAGTAATTCTTCTGTCGTATCTTTATTAATCACATAATCATTTGGAAACGAAATAAGAGTGCATTTGACACCTTCATCGTTTTCACCCAATTTCATTCTATGTGTTACAATCTATTTAATTGTTAATAAAAAATTATAAAGTATTAAAGATACAAACTGTTTAGTATTCCAATCATACAATTGGTTATCAGAGAGGATCACATTCTGAATTGAGTTACCGACACTTAAGAGAAACATAACAGAAACTAATGACATCGTTTTGAAGTGATTATGTTTCCTTTTGAGTTGTTTAAATTCTATGGTGGTCTTTGACTAAACAATTCTCTTTCTTTTGTTACTTTTTTCTTTGGTTTTCATATCAAAAAAAATCATTCAATTGTGTTTTTGAAAAATTTACTTTTAGTTTTTAAATAATAAATTATAACTATAAATATATTAATACATATACAATAAAATTTACTATTAAATTATAATATTGAACTATAAATACGTAGTTAAATTTCAATGGTTTTAATGAACTTAAAAGGTCTATTTTTTAGATATTCAAATGATAAACATCTTAATTAGAGGTTTACCTCCAGACACACAACGACACTTCCATAACCTTCTTTCAACACACTCTGATTCCGTTATACCAACCCTAACACAACTTAGTGTGATATCATCTTCTCGGAGTGTTCCTCTGTTAGGAATAACTCAATTTGTCCCGACAAAGCCATTGACGTTGTCATTGGGCACATCTGTATCTAAGGACGGGAACTTTCAATTGAATTCCTCAATCTCTCTGAACAACTTTTTATCATGTGGTGTTCAATGTAAAGCGGAAATACTCTCCAAATATAAGAATGGGAAATTAAGTCCACCACAACCCATGATATCAGTGACATTACCATTTTCTAAGAGCGACGGCTTACACTCCTTCAATTTCATGTCATCCTTTGATAAAGTGAAGGAAGAGTCGCCTTTCAAACATATCGAGAACACTTCGGACGTGTCGTTGGAGTATACAGCACCGAAGTATTCAGTCGGGTTCTCCCAGAAAGTCCATTCGACGAAATCGAAGCCGGACGCGTCGCTTTTGGGGATCCCCATTGAATTGACAAACTCCAAGAATGTTGTTTCAAACGAAGTTTATATGAGAAATGAATATATAAAGAAGACTAAATATGGGGAGTGGACGAACACCTTTTACAATGTGTTTGGTGTTGAAGATAAAAGTGTGTATTGGAAGCCACAACTCTCTTCTGTGTTTAAGACAATCACTCTTGCCAATTGTTGGATGACGAGCAGACTGTATTTTGGGTGTTTAGTTTGTTATTATTATTTAATAATAATAATAATAATTATTATTATTGTGCTTTCTATTACAACTATTAATATATTTATTAAAGATTAATAGATTAGGTAGCACAGTCAAATTTATCAATGTCAGAGTATTACTACTTGGGATCAAAGGAATTGAGAGGGTTTAGACGTCGTGGATGTGTTGGAGAATGTACAGATCCACATTTGGGTGGGGACGTTGTTGGGACGTTTCATCAGTTCGTCCATCGACAATTACCATTTGGAGGGAATAGTTCGATTTTTGGATTCTTCAATTGTGGGTTCTTGTCATTCAAAAAAATCAAAGGAGAGAAAAAGGTTGATTGTATTAACTCGGTGTGCGGGGTGGGAATCTCTTTGAACGGAATGGACTTTAGCTTAATCAAACACTTGAAGTCGGGTAAGAACGATGAGAAGTGTATGTTCCAAGTCACCACCTCTTTTTAATGAAAATAAAAAAGCATGGGGTGTGCTGTTAACTGATTGTTCCATTCACATCGTTGAATATAAACATTACTCTGTAATACCACACACATTCGATATTTGAATAGAAAAAGAATGAGGTTTCCATCTAGTTTAATTTTATAGATTCTATTAGTTGTTATTGATTCTTTCTAATTATAATACAAGCTATATTTTAATGATAAATATACAATATATAATATAGTATGACTATTAGTTTGAGATACTATATAAACACCAAAGCTAATAAAAAAGAGATAGAAAACAAAACAAATGAATTATTGAACAAATTATAAGTTTTTACTTACAAATTGGAGGGGAAAGGCAAGTCAAGACCGTCAGAAACGGGATCAAAGAAAAACTAAAAAACCACAAAAATGCCAAACGAAGGGAACACGAGTGTTCTACTTACAAGTCTCTCTATTAAGGGCTTTTCTAGTGTCTTTGTAGGATTCATGTTAGCCGTCTCCTTTGCGATGATGATGACTATGTCCCTTCCGGATCAATACAAAACAGCTGCTTTGGAGGACACTTGCTCATTTAAGAACTCGACTGTCTGTCTGTCGAAACTTATTTCGACGGGACAGAACTTCACGTTGAAACTCACCAACATCTCCTCTGTGAATCAGAAAGTCCACTTGTACCTTGTGTATAAGGCGGAAGAGTCTAAGGCGCGTATTAGTTTGTTGTTAACATTCTATATCAAGTGTAAGTGATATAGAGAAGAGACTTATTGGATATGATAGAACCAAGTTAATAGATAGAAATGCTGATTAACACCGCTTTGTACAAAGAAACCACTAAAACGCCCACCCCGACATACAACGACGTCACGCTCATCAAAACGACATCGAAGAAACATCGCGTCTTCTGTGACAAAAATTCGAATTGCGAGATGCTGTTGGCGACAGTGGAGTCTTCGAAGAAATATAACACAGTCTATGCTGTTATGAATGTGTCACAGATTGCTCAGTCTGCCGGATTAACAGCACCGGCTATAGAGTTGTTGTACGTCCAACCGCAATACACGTCGTTTGAAGTCTTTTGGAGGATCACATTGTTAATAGTGATGTGTGTTGCGACACTCTTCTTCTTATATGTCTTACGTGGAATACCATTCAAAACGTGGTCGTTGGAACAAAAGGCGACATTCTTGTTAATGGTCACACTGTCGATTACAAACAACGCATTCTACTCATATGAGTTCATCTCCGCTAACGAATTCTTCCCAGCAATTAACGCGATGTGCGACTCATTGATGTTGGCTGCACTCTTATTATACATTCTCATCATTTTCGACGCACTCAGAAAACCCCTCAGTCAACGAACTTTCAAGTTCTTTTACTTCCCACGATTCGTTTTGATCATCTTATTGGAATCATTCGTCGTCAACTTGTATCTCTATAACGCGGACATCGATGACCCTATTATGGTCGTCATGAAAGACCCTATTAACGCTACTTTAGCTATACTCACAGGACTCCTTACTGTTGTCTACATGTTCTGGTTGGTCTTTGCCGTCATCAGATCCTTCTCTGAAGCAAGAAAGCTTGGAGAGATCGGACAGAGAATAAGATTATATGGGACTTTTACTCTTGTCGCTATATTCATATTGGTCGTACTCCTCATTTCAAATTACTTCGTTGGCTACAAGTCAAATCGTTTGTTTTTATGTTCTTTAAATTATTAGTGTATTATATAATTATTATATTATTATTATATTATTATTATATAATTATTATACTATTTATTATACTATTTATTATATACTATTTATTATACTATTTATTATACTATTTATTATACTATTTATTATACTATTTATTATACTATTAATAAAATATAAATCAATATACTATAATTCATCGTTAATTGTAGTAATGGAAATAGAACATAAGTGTAACGTATAGAGGCGGTCTATTTAACTACTATTGCTTATATAAATATTTATGCCCTCACTCTAATGGTCTTCTACCTCCCTTCAAATAAACAAGATGATCGCTGGAATCAGAGAAGAAGAGAGATCGTTCTTGATGACGTTAAAGTCACAGAGTACGATGAAGATGACAATGAATTGGTTGTCGAACAAGAACTCACTGACAACAAGAAAGAAGAAGAGGTCATCGGAGGGATGATTGACAAAGCTTCTAAAGAACAAAAAGACGACAAGAAAGAAGAGAGGATCGAACTTTAATCCATTTGATCTTTATTATACTTCATTGGTTTTACAAACTATAACTTTACTAGAACGTTTGAACTATAAATTATAATGAAACAACTATACTTAATGACTCACTTATCGACGAACTCTAAGAAGGCGATGATGTCGATATTTGCAGTGTTATAAATGCAATTGGTGATCTTGTCACCGTCAGTCAAGACTACTCTGTCGATGTTGGTGATGTTTAGGTTTGGAAGATCAGAGGGGACGATTTCTTTGAAATTTCCTTTGGTGACACGTGTGAAGATAATGAAATTTGATGAATCGGCAATGGCATCGGAATAGTTTCGATACATGTAGACCCCCTTTCCGCAGTTTCCGTCGACAAGAGGAAAGCCGTGGTCTTGGATTGACTTCATTTCGTCGGCGCTCTTACATGCGAAGTACATCACTTGTAAAAACTCGTTCACTTTACACCCGATCCCATCGGGTGTGATTTCTAACTCGCCGACCACCGTCATGTTTTTGCAATTCTTGTGGAATGGAATATACTCCACCATGCGTTTTTGCAACTTTTCAAGTTTCTCGTTCCACTTTTTGCAATCTTTCTCATTCATTTCATTCATTATTTATTGTTCAAAATACTGTACTATATATTTTTAAAAATATTATAATTATATTGTTTATAGTATTGTTGAGTATTTGTTTTTTGTACTAAAGTTCAACTATTATATTTAAGTTTGATTGAAAAACTAAACTTGATAATAATTATTAATTAATTAATGATAGTAGATAATAATTTAATAATTATTTTATAGTTCAGTTTTTAAAAATTAAAAGAGTAGTTTTACTTTCTAAAATAATGTAATACAAATATTAATAACAAGTTAATATTTTTTAACACAATTATAAATATATTATATAGAACTATATTTTAATAATAACTTATAGTAATAAATATAGTAAAAAAACTCAATTGACATGATGTTCGAGAACATCGCTGAAGTCCTCGATGCTGCTTGGGGAGTTTGACTTCTTGGTTTTCTCAATGTCTTTTCCTTTCTCGTTGCTATCATTCTTATCATTGCTCTGGTCTTCCATTTCGACTTCTTCTGGTTTTTTGGTCTTTTCCTTTTTCTGTGGTTTCTTTCCATTATTTTTGCTCTTCTCATTTTTTGAGGCAAAATTCTCTGCTTTCGTTCCGTCAATCTCTTTTTTTGTCTCTTTTCTATTTTTAGTTTCTCCAAGTTCAGTCTCTTGTTCAAGCCCTGGTCGGACGGCAACAGGTTGAACAACTGGCTTCATTTTCTTTTTCAATTCCTTCTTTGAAGCCTTCTTTTTCTTCCGGTCGTTTTTGTAGTCCAAGTAGTTTCCAACAGTGACACAATTGAACAATGTGCATATCAAACATGGGGTCTATTCGTGATTATTTGTCAAAGTATCAATCTTGAGATTGAGAAAATGACGAAATGATTAAAATGGAGGAAAGAAAAAGAACTTGAGACAAAAAAAACAAACACAGAAAAGAAGACAAAAAACAAGTCCACCTACATACCACCAAAAGGTTGGACTTAACTTTATTCCACCAAATTCATACTCTTTATCAAAGGTGGAGATCTGTGTTGGTTTAACAATTCCCATGATGTTTAATGCAATACTAACCATCCAAGCAACGACAAAAGACAGGAGGTACTTCTTGTAAGACTTTAGGTTCATTTCAATCATTAAGATAAGATGGAGTTAACAAACTAAAGCAGAAGTCAGGCGGCCCCGAAGAAGTCCTGAAAAGATACCAATAAGACCAGCAATGACGTAGATCCCAGCAACCGCCATCTGGTAATATCCAGTGATGGCACCAAGTATCATTCCATAAATAAGACTGCCCATCTATTCTTTAGTGAATACTTAGAAAAAACATTGATTCAAGAGACACAAACTATGACGAGGATCGAGAACGTGATGACTAGAAATTTTGGGAGGTAGCAAAATCTCATCTGTTGGGATTATTCATCTTTTGAGATTCTCTTATTAGTCCCACATTCACTTTCCCAAAAGTAAGATCGTCCTCTGCAATGACGTGTCCTCTCTTTATTTTTGTCATGGAATTTGTTATGAGAAACTGTTTTGTAAGGGAGATGGTGAAGAGCTACACATTTGGTGTTTGTTCCTTTTATTTACAATACAAACCGACCAAAAATGCGTAGAAAGAATATCTCATTTTTTTCGTTTTGCAATTCCTTGCTAATTATTATTATATCATTCTAAATAGTTCATTGCACAATAACTTTTACAAAAAGCCATCAATTTTCGAAAACTTTTCGTCTCGAAAAGCCAAGCAGCAAATCACAAACGTATCAATTGGTACCAAAGTGATTGATGAGCAACAACAACCCGGCAATAAAGAATAACATCCCCGCAAGCTTCTTTGGTGTCCACCAGCTTTTCATCATCTCGTGGGCTTCCGTAAGCGCTTTATTCCCAACAACAATTGCAACCTGCGCCTCTTCCACTGCGTCCACAATGTGTTGTGTATTTTCGAGCTGTATCTGTGCCATTTCCCCGATTTTCGTGTTGAGTTCGTTGATATTTGTGATCTTTTCGACAATTCCTTTCAAGACATCGTCCATCCTACTCTGCGACTGTTTCAGAATTTTATTTTCTTCGTTTTTTATTTCGTCGTCTTGTTCACTGTTTTCATCCCAGACGCCGTCAAAATCGACTTCAACTTTCTGTGAGACGATTTCTGATGCGCGCACCTTTTCCGTCTGTTTATTATTTTCACGTGTTTTTATTGGAATTGTATTTTGTGTGGGTTTCGTCACAATCAGTGGTTGTTCTTCTGTGTGTGGGATGTCGTCGTCGAAATCGTCAAAAATTGACTGTTCGATGTGGACTGGTTTTGTGTCATTTGTCTTTTCGTTTGCTTTAGTGCATTCAAGACTTTTTGGTTGTGCCTGAGGCAACTGTTGTTGTTGTTGTGTTGTGCTCTCCTCTTCTCCACTCTTTTCAGTGTTATTTTGCAATGAATTTTGTGATGTTTCATTAAAGAGTTCTGGGTGTCTTTTAAAGAGTAATTCGTTGTTCAAATTGACGATGTTCCACATGATTTTAGTTTCGTTATTTGCTTGCTTTTGTAACTTAAAAATTTTGTCTTTGAGTTGGTCTGCGACGATGTCGAAGTGTTTAATGGCGAATACTTTTGTTTTGTTCTCCGTTTCTATTTGTCACTTTCAACGCTTGTGTACCCCAAAAACAGACAAACTGTACAACGAAAACCGTTGAGTGATTTTCTGTTCCATGTCATTTGCCCACTGTGACAATTGACGCCCGGCAGAGTTTTGTGAAGTGCACTCGTAGATGTCGACCTCCCCCGTCAAGATCGCCATTGAGAGTTTTTTTAGACCTTTTTCCTTCTCGGCTATTTCTCGTTGCTTTCTTGTGAGTGTTTTTCAACTGATTAAATTTGATTGCAACAAACAATGTTTTTGATCTGTTCATTAATGTCTGAGGATTCTACTGGTTTTGATGAGTCGACAAGTTGTTTAAATTGTGTTCTAATAGTCTCGATTGGTAATCCCTCGGATTCGTGTGCTTCTATGTACTCGTCCTCTACTGCTTGTTGGAACTGTTTTGTGATGTCCATACGTTCCTTTTAAAATGAGTTTTTAAAGATACCACGTAGTCTATGAAGTGGTGAGTTCTTTTTTATTGTATTATTTAAATAGTATTTTAATGGTAATATTATAGTACATTAATAAGAATATCATTAAAAAAAGGAATACAGTTTTGGTCGAAATTTAATGAAAAAAAACACGACAAAAAGACCAAAAAAGACCAAAAAAAGTTCAATTTAGTCGAGTCTTTTTCATATGAAATAATTCAAGAAAACCCTAAATAAGAAACAAGCAAAAAGTACTAAAAAACACAGAGTCATGTCAGTTTGTTCGTTTTACATTAGTTGGTGGCATTGAGTTGTACTCACAAAGAGCAAAAGCAAACCACTCGATTACGTCGTGAGTATATGATGAAACGCCAAGTCCAAGACGGGGACAAGTTGCGTCTAGACAAAAAGCGTGCGATAGAGAAAGCGATGGAAGGAGCTACAGCTATTCCAGTGACAGCACGTGGTGACTTTGATCAATTAGAGTCGACGTTAAATTATGAAGATGCGTCATCGCGTGCGGTGAACGCGTATGACAGTGAATATGCCAAGTCAGGGATTTCCGACCCGGTAGTCTTTGTGACGACGTCTCGCGACCCATCGAGTAAATTAAAAGAGTTTTCAAAGGAAATCAAACTGATCATTCCGAACTCGACGCGATTGAATCGTGGCAATTTACAAGTGAAGAATTTAGTGGAGACTTGTAAGAGTCATGATGTGACGGATTTAGTGATTGTTCATGAACATCGAGGTATCCCCGATGGCTTAATAGTCACTCATTTCCCTTTCGGCCCTACAGCATACTTTGGCCTTTATAATGTCGTCTCGCGTCACGACGCCAAAACAAAGAAGACCCTCAGTCAAACGGCACCACACCTCATCTTCGATAACTTGACAACTCCCCTTGGAAAACGGTTCGAAATGATTCTGAAGAATTTGTTCCCCGTCCCTAAACCCGATACTAAAAGAATTATGACCTTCGCTAATTCAAAGGACTATATTAGCTTTAGACACCACGTCTATGAGTATAATGAAGAACATCAACTCGTTTTACAGGAAGTCGGGCCAAGATTCGAACTAAGACCATATCAAATTAAACTCGGAACTGTTGATATGAAGTACGCAGAGAACGAATGGATCTTAAGAAGCTTCATTAACTCCGCAGCTACTCGAACACTCCTTTAACGTCGATTGTTATTGATTTGGATTTTAGTTTTGGTAATTATATCTGAATTATATTAGTATATGATGGTATGATCATTAAACTAAAATGTAAAATAATAGTGATTGTTAAACTATAAAGTATAATTAATAATACTATATTTTTTGATAATTTCAGTATAATATGTTATTAATAAAAATATAGTAGATGTACTTCTCTAACTTCTTTTTCAACAAAATATAATTGACTTTGGACCAATCAAATCAGTTTGTTTCCCATAACGGACGTTTCTACGAATTTTCTAAACAAATAACCCTACTTTAAAAACGTCCATTATGTTGACTTTTTTTGTCTGGTTGGGCAAAAAAAACGTAAATATATAAACGGCTAATTATATCAGAAATCCACGTCACCATTTCCTTCTTTGTCAAGCCTCAAAAATAAAAAGTAATATTTATAATAAAAAACATTATATAATATGGTTTTATTTCACCTTTTTAAACAATAAAATAAAAAAACGTAAAAATAGAGCATTAATTCAATTAAATTTAACTTAATTCAAGTAGTACTTATAATAGGAAAATTTGTATAAAGTATAGTAAAAAAAGCAGATAAAAAAAAAGAATTGATGATGTTTGCTGTCAAAAGTCAAAAGGAAAATACAATTTGTTTGTTTTCATCACAAAAAATCAAAGTCTGAGCTATACAATATAGTAAATAGAATTAAAATAGTAGTAAACCCATGATTAATACATCAAAATTAAAAGCCACTCTGACGAGAAACGTTTTGTGAGAGTGAGATGGTTCTCAAAACGACGGAAGGATGAGGGTTACAAGGGGAAACCCTCAACGATGTGTCGTTGATAGAGCTGCAGGCGTTTAAAAGGGTTTTTGAATACTCAAAATTCAATGCCAAAGCGATTCTTGTTCACGTCCGAGTCTGTCTCTTCGGGGCACCCAGACAAGATCTGTGATCAAGTCTCAGATGCCATCTTAGATGCATGTTTGAAACAAGACCCCCATTCATATGTAGCTTGTGAGACTGCAACGAAGACTGGAATTATCATGTTGTTAGGTGAAATCACGACATCTGCCAAAATCGATGTTCAGTCTATTGTTAGAAATGTAGTGAAGGATATTGGATACGACGACACGTCGAAAGGATTTGATTATCACACATGTGCAGTGTTGTCTTGTTTGGAACAACAAAGTCCAGACATTGCTAATGGCGTCCACGTGGCTAAGAAAGACGAAGACATTGGAGCGGGTGACCAGGGTATTATGTTTGGATATGCCACTGATGAATCGAAAGAAATGATGCCATTGACACACGTCTTAGCTTCGAAATTAGTGATGAGACTTGAAGAGTGCAGGAAGAAGGGAATTATATCATGGCTGAGACCAGATGCAAAGACACAAGTCACTTTGGAGTATGAGGACAATGACGGACATTTAACTCCAATTCGAGTCCACACCATTGTCATCTCTACACAACACTCTCCGGAAGTCACTAATGAAGAGATTTCTAAGACACTCGAAGAAGAAGTCACTAAGAAGGTCATTCCAGCGGAGTTGATTGATAGCAACACACTCAGATTCTATAATCCAAGTGGAAGATTTGTCATTGGAGGTCCAATGGGCGATGCTGGACTCACTGGAAGAAAGATTATTGTCGACACATATGGAGGATGGGGGGCTCATGGTGGAGGAGCTTTCTCTGGAAAAGATTCATCGAAAGTAGACAGAAGTGGGGCTTATTGTGCTAGATGGATTGCAAAGAGTCTTGTGAATGCTGGGTTGTGCAAGAGAGCACTTGTCCAGTTAAGTTATGCCATTGGTCTTTCACATCCATTGAGTGTCTATGTTGACACATACAAGACTGGTGTTATTCCTGATGAGAAAATCGTCGACATTGTCAACAAGAACTTCGATATGCGACCAGGTATGATCATTAAGAACCTTAAATTGAGAAGACCAATATTCCAGAAAACTGCAGCTGGTGGACATTTCGGAAGAAATGATCCAGACTTCTTGTGGGAAGTACCAAAGACTCTTGAGATGCCAGAGGATGTTCGAGCTGTGTTAAAGAATTAAATAAATGAGTGTTTTATGCTATTATTTTATTATTATTACATATGGTAATACAAATAGTTAAAAATCTTATAATAATATAAAATAATTTATTATAATATAATATTATTTTGTATAATATCATTACAGTCAAAGGCGTCTATTTGTCGTGAATCCAGCAGAAAAAATTATCTATTTGTCGTAAATGAGTGAATTTTGTAGAAAATTCTTTTTAATATTGAAATTTATTTTTTATAAAAAATTTAGTTTTTAATTCAACAAAAGTTACAGATTCGAGAACAAAATATTTAATTGTCGTACACCAATATGATTGGCCAGTTGTGCGATAATTAAGCAACTTCGACAATTATAATTACGACAAATAGACGCCTTTGACTGTATATATATGTTCCAAACTTTATTTCACACAATTAATTAATAATAACTATTAACTCATTTAGGTATAAAATAACTGGCTTTAACTATTCTATTTGTTTATTTAACAAAGACCTCAAACTATTCCAGCCAAAAGTAATTAATAAATTTTTTAATTCTTAAATATTGTCTATTTAATAATAACATAACTAATTTATTATAATACAATGAATTGATAATGAATTTCAATATATTTTTGTAAATCAACAATACCAGTCAAAAGTGTTTCTATTTTATAATTAAACTTAAATACTCATCTATTTGTCATAAAGTAGAATGTGAAATTGTTTTTTATTCCACAAACAATCCAAATCCAAGAATATATTTTTAAATGACAAACCAGTTATCTATTTGTTATATAAAAATATACGTTATTGATTGTAGTTATTTTATAATAAAATTATTATATTTATTAGAATTGTCTTTTTAAAAAAATAGAAATAGAAAAATAGGAAATAAAAGTATTTATAAATATTATTAGTTAATTTTTAGTTGGTATTTTCAAAATGTGTATAGTTTAAATAGTATTAGAATAATTAAAAAAAATATTTGTCAAAAACAAAAGTTGGGTATAAAAACAAAAAAATTTGTCATCTAATCGCCACCATGATGAAAAACATGTATGATTACCATGATAATGCAGGCACTTGTTTATGAGTGGTCTATATCATCAAATTACATTCTTTTACCTTGTGATAGTCAGTGGCTTTACATTTAATGTTTTGTTACTGGTTTGAAAGCAAAGAGTGATAATAATATTATTAATATTAATAATAATAACCCATCAAAAGTAAATTACTTTTATTGTCTGCTATCAACTTGATCGAAGAACGACTTTCTTGGCTCCAACTTAATAGAAGTGAATGGCATACCATCTCCGACATTGAACTTATTTTGGAATTCGATCCAGTGCAATTTGAGGGTATGTAAGAAAGCAGAGAGTGACTCGATTCCAATTAAAATGGCCAAAGTGATCATAGCCCACACAGCGAACCCGACAAAGATAGTCACGCAGATCTTTATCCCGAGCAACAAGTAGAATTCTTTCTCCAAGAAGACAGCGCTAAGTTCCGCGTGTGCGATGATGACTCCCACAGTCTGAGATATGATGCTGTATTTGAGATGCATCCAAGTACAAATTCGATGCCATGAATCGATTTAAAGATGATTATTTCCATCAAAGATTTTCCTTCTTCATTATCTTCTTCCTCTTCCTTACTATTTTTTTTCCTCTTTCACTTGGACTATCAAACTGTCCATTTTAGTCGCTGGGGGCACCGCATTATGTTCAGACATCGACTTTTCCGTATTCCCTCCTTCTGAAAAGAGTGGCCGACACTCGGGAAGTGCTTTTTGGTGTTTTCTGAGTTGTTAATATAAAAAAATCTAATATTGGTACAAACATTGTTATGTTTTGTTTAAAATTCATGTTGTAAATATAGAAAGAGGAATTACAGTTTTTCTTCTCAATAGTTTAGGCATAATCAAATTTTAATAATTTTAACTATAAATCAATAGTACATTTTTTACTTTTTAAAAAGAGGAACTTAGATGAAAGATGTCAAAGAATGAAGTAGTTTGCATATCTTTTATTCGTTTATGAAGGAGTTCAAAAGGGTTAATAAAGAATTTATCATTAGTATAAACCACGTGCGGATGATTCAAAGCGTGTTCGGTTGAAAAGAGATCTTTATGTGAAGCTTCAACAACTTGGTAAAAAGACGAAATTAAAGCCGGACGTCAACACTATTATTCAAATGTTATTTGAAGAGAATGAATGTAAAAAGGAGAGTGTTAGTGGGTCACTCTTGTCTTCACTGAGTGAAGACAAGAGTGAAGTACTTTTTTCCGAGAAGTATTATCAACTGCTTTTTGAGAGTTTGTACGACTAAATAAATAAAACTCATTTTGACTTCAGTTTTAAAACTCATTTCCCACTTTTTGATGAAAAATCGAGCCAAAACCTCTTCAAATTTATTTACAAATAAATCGTTGCTTATTTCCAATTCTTCACATAGTCAAGGATGTCATTATGAGTCGCTTCAGGACGTTCAATTTGCATCTCAATGACTCCTCTCAGTATTTCTTTGAGCCAAGGCCCCTTCTTTCTTCCAAGGATTTTTGCTATTTCGTCTCCATTAATTTTGGGTCGCATTTTATAGCAATTTTCAAGCCCATTTTGTTCGATTTTCTGGATGATATTGCCAACCCATTGCACTGTTTTCTTCTCGACTTGTCCTCCATCGTCACTCTTCTCGTACTTCACAGTAATTGGTGATTTGATAGCGGCGTACAGACATATAGCCTCTCTCCACAACGCCTCTGCCGATAACACGATTCTACCGAGATCAAGTCTTGTGTAATTCTGTTGAAAGTCGAGCTTCTTCACTTCTAAGTACCCGGAATGAATCAACGCGACATTGTTCTTGATGGCAGTGCTCAATTTCAGTGCTTCCATGATAATCCCCTGAACTCGTGGGACTTTCATATTCTTCAAATCGTTCATCCCAATGAACCAAAACGTTGCAGAAGCTATTGCTCCATACACGCGGTGCTCTTCATTAAAGATGGTAAAGGCCTTTGACAACTCTTCGTAACTCTTCATCACCGAAAGTACTTGCACCTCGTCGCACTCTCCAAAAATGACGGTGTAATAGCCGACCTCCATTAATTTCTCAAAACAGTAACTTTGATGGCCTGTTTGTATCATCCCAAGTATCTCATTTCCAATGCGCTCGCGACTTATAGTACTGCAGATGCCAATTTTCAGTGTATCGCTCTTCATGACTTCGATGAGGTGTGGATCAATGGTGTAACACATTTTTGCACTGAACCGAATTGCACGAAGTGCTCTCAAAGGATCGTCAACAAGTGTTTCTTGTGGTGGAATAGGTGTTCTGATGACATGTGCAGAGAGGTCTGAAAGACCTTGCTGAGTCATATCCTCGATGACCCCATCATTGACTCGATAGAACAACGAGTTGATGGTGAAGTCCCGTCTTCTCGCGTCGGAAAGGGGTGTTCCCACTCCGGTCGAGTCCGAGCCAAAATTCTCAGGGCGGAGACAACAGATGTCGATTGGGATGTTATCGATGCGAAGGGTAGACGTCAATAAGTGTTTTCCTGATGATGGGTTTGGTTGGATGACTCCTATCCCACTGATTTGGTGTGTAGTGTTCTCTTGAATATACTTCTGGAGGTATACTGAGAAGTCGTACGATGGCATATTGTCGACGGTGATATCAATGTCATGAGACTCACGGCCTAACAACTTGTCGCGAACCCACCCGCCAACGACTCGAAGAATAGTGTGAGTGGAGTACGTCGCAACCGTCTGATCTTTGAGTGTTCATGTTTATATAGTAAATATATAGTAAAAATGAACTAAACAAACTTGGCGGAGTAATGTGAATATCATCGTCTCAGTGTCAGTTAAAACGATTTGGTGTGCCATACAATTCTTAGTGTTATTTTTTCTTCTAATTTTCATTACTTTGTAAGGTCACACTTGAGTCTTGTAAAGGTCTTGTGTTGACTATCTTCATATTTGTTCTAATATAGTTATTAATAAAACAAATTATATTATTTAATAATATTTCTGCCTGGTAGATATTATAATATTAAACGTAATTAATATGAACTAATAAAATAAACTAGAGTACAGTGGTTATAATGGAGAGAGACGAGACTTAATAGACCAAGGACTTCCAAGAGAAGAAAAATATAGAGGAAAACCCTTTGAATTTTTTGAAGGGTTTTTTGTCTATTTAGTATTCAATATGGACTCTAACCGTAAACAGCGACGCTTAGAGGGGAAGTCGAACAAACGATATGCGAAGAATGAGGGACACAAAAAACAGCGAATTGCGCTTCATGCGGAAATAGAAGAGGCCACAAAGACGCACAAACCGATTAAAGAGCGCACAAAAGACACGAAACTGACGATGGAAGAGGAGCCGTTGAATGAAGGGGAGACGAAAAAGATTATCAGCTCAGCTATGGAACAACTGAAAGAAGACAAGAAGGAGAGCTATTTTGCAGGGAAACAAGAAAAGAAGGTTGGTATAGAAGACCTTGAGACAAATGATCATTTAATGGAAGTGGAAGACAAAGAGGACTCTTCCGAGAGTGACAGTGAAGCGAGTGACGAGGAGTTACCCAAAGACAAGATGGTGGCGTATGACGTTCCAATAGATGAAGAGACTAAAAAGGTCTTATTAGCCTTTACAGACACGCCTGATGATATTAATGTGAACTCGATGATAGAAAAGCAACTTGATTTGATTGAAGAAGAGGAGAACTTAATGAAATCGAAAAAGATGGAAACGGAACCCTCTCATGAAGACCACGAACACACTTGTGATGATGAGTGTCACCACGAAAGCGCACCAAAACCACTTCCTGAGCAATTGAATCAAGTGAAAGGAAAGTACTCTGACAAAGTCAGAGATATCTTTAAAGAGCTTGGGACGTTCTTGTCGTTATATCGTGTTGGGAAGTTACCCAAGATATTCAAGTTACTCCCATCCTTTGAGGAATGGCCTCAGTTCTTGAAGATGACAAATCCTGCGCTGTGGACCCCACAAAGTGTATTCGCCGCAACCAAACTGTTTGTCCACTCGTCTCCCGCGGAGGTTGAAAAGTTCGTTCAAGTGTTTTTGTATCCCAAAGTGCGGGAATGTATACACAAAACAAAGGAATTACATTTCGAGTTGTATATGGCTCTGAGAAAGACTATTTATAAGCCACGAGCATTTTTCAAAGGAATTATCTTCCCATTGTGCACAGAAAAGAATGTCACTGGGAAAGAGGCACTCATCATCTCTTCGTTATTAAGAAAGGCTTCGATCCCTATGAAACACAGTGCAGTCGCGTTGTATAAGTTGGCTAATATGAAGTACAACTCTACACAATATCTCTTCCTCAAAACACTCCTCGACAAGAAGTACTCCCTCCCGTACGCGGCGTTGGACGCTGTCGCGGCCTTTTATGCTCGTTTCACCGACAGCACCGAACAACTCCCCGTCATGTGGCACCAGGGGCTTTTAGTGTTTGTCCAGCGTTATGGTAAAGATCTGAAGCAACCCCAAGTCAACAAATTGATTGAGGTCTGTAAGGTTCAGAAGCACCATGCAATCACTCAGGTCGTGATGATCGAGCTCCAGAAGAAGAAGGTCTGATTGTTTTGAATTGATTTGGTTTATTAGAGTTAGTTTAATAAACGAAACTATTCTTTATTGAGTTGTCTAGTTTCAACACTAGTATAAAAACCATTAGTTTACTATTTTAATGGTATTGAAAGGAAAGTATAACCAAACTAATAAAATAGTATAAAATATAGTAAACTAGAGACAAATGAAATGGTACACTATTCAATGTTGAGAGACTTTTTGAGTGTGTTGATTTGAAGTTGTTGCTGTTGAGAAACAGCTTTGAGTTGGTCGAGTAAGTTTTGGAGCGTATCGACCCTCTTGAGCATGCTCTTTAACATCCCCTCTTTACACTCGAGTGGACTCTTCCGACGTAAAAGGTCCTTCTTTTCCGTGGAAGGGAGAGACGGACTGGTCCAACTGAAATCGTGTTGTCCATATGTCATCGAACTTGCTAACCCCGGCTTCTTATGAGATTGCGCTTCTTCGGATTTCACATCGGAGAAGGACCGCTTTTGCATTTCGACACGAAGCTCATTCAAAAATTGTGCCGTGTATGATCCGGCCTTTTTACGATGGTGGACTTGGGGCGAATTGTTATCGACTATTTTATTGGACACTTGAGATTCTTTGGGATGGGTTAACAAGTCTTGTTGATCACGTGGCGAGAATTGTGGGTTGATGAATTCAGTCGAAACAGATAATCCCTTTGTGTTATTGAATACGGTGATAGGGACAATCGCAAGTAATTAACAAACTGAAGGGGTCATAGGGATACGCACTTCTGTCATGACGGTGTTGTAAGTAATGAGATCAGTGAGTGATTACAAGGAGCAATTCAGAAGACAAAAAAAATCTAAAACTGGAGTTAGATATATAGAAAGAAGTTCGCAAACGAGTTAAGATAGTTGAAAGTATTTCATTCGTGTTTTTCAATTACAAATGTTGTAATTAGTTAGTAGTATTATTTTAATAAAAAAACTAATAGTGTATTGTAAAGAATGGAATAAAAAAAGAATGGTATTAATATGGTAAATATGCCGAAATAGTACAATGGTATGTTGTTAGATGAAGCTTTACACAAACGGGAATTGTTTGGACAGTTTATTTCTTGATTTCTAACAGTTGAGCGGGGAAACGCTGATGTCCGGGAAACAAGAATAATCTGAGCAAAAATAGAAAGATAACAGAGCAAGAACATTCGGCGGTGCGGACAATACAAAAACATAAGAAAGTTTTTTATAATAAAATGTCACATTTACAAAACGGGTACATGTGCAAGGATTACCCTTAAAACTACGGGAATGGAATTTGAAATCAATATGGAACACTTTTGGACTTAATTGTGGTGATATTTCAAAATTAATAAAATTTACTATTATTTACTAGTTTATTTTAGTAATATTGAATCAAAAAAAAATAATTACAAAAGAATAGAAACTTAATTATACTAATAAAATAGTCCTTCTGCTTCAATTGATAGATCCATCATTCTTTTTCTGTATGTAATTTTCTAGCAAAATAGCACACTATATTTCCACAAAATTGGGGGTTTTATTTGGATGTATTTTTAACAAAAAAATACATCGAAAAACTTTTACTGCAGTTTTATTATACCAAAAAGTATTTTGTTTTCTTTTTTATTATATTTTTTATATTAAAAGTATTATTAAATTGGTTAATAAAGGATCAACACTGGACTTTTAAAGTTTTTTTTTAACAAAAAAGTCACAAAACACCTTAACAGTTTTCTTTAAATTTAACTATTTAAAAAAAAAATATTTTAGTTATTTTGAATAAAATGTTACATTTCAAAGTAGTAAGATCATATCTCAAACCTTGTTTTCGTGTTCATTTTTGACAGATTTTTCTTTTTATAAATCAATTATTTAAAAAATACATCAAAAGTAATCTAAAAATTTCATTTATTTTTAGTTTTAAGAAAAACAAAATTTAGAAAAACAAAATTTAGAAAAACAAAATTTAGAAAAACAAAACTTAGAAAAACAAAAATCGACTTTATGGAAACGACGACTGAACTTGACGAACATTTATTTCTGGAAACATATTACCAGACGTCTGGATGTACTTCTAAGGTGATAGAACATGCCACGAAAATACGACTTTTAGTTACCGAGTTAAACAATCATGTTTACAAGAATCCCCAAACAAAAGTCCAACTTGACCAATTACGAAAAGAGTATCAATCAGTACACTCGAAGAATGACGGAACAGTCCCCGTCGACGCTATTAATACCGACTCGGCATTTTCTCAATTGGTTGACGGACTGAAAGTCTCACAAGAAGATGTTGTCGACTTTCATAACGATTTTATCGATGATCCTTCGTGGAATGATTTCGACCGGTTAATGGCTAATGTGGAGAGAAAGGATGAACCGAAGAATCAAGGGATATTAGAAGCAAGTTTCTTGAATGATTATGAACAAAAAGACGAGAACACCATTCGTTTGTTTCTTTACTATAAATTACTATTATTATTAGTTCTATATATTAATTCTATTTAACACTTAGTGAAAGAGAAAATTGGACTACTGGAAGCGGAAAACGAAAAACTTAAAAGACAACTCCATGAAATTAAAGTCTTTTATGAGAAGACTAAGGCTAAAATGTCGTGTAAATCTCCATTTTGTGAAACTCCTGCACATGTCCCTCAAAATTAATTAAATTATATATATTTTAATAACCATATTTTTTAATTAAATTGTATCTATTGTAACTTAAATAGATTGAATTTGATAATTATTATAATTATTATAATTATTATAATTATTATAATTATTATAATTATATATTATAATATATTAAACTATGTATTAATCATTCATTCATAACATGTCACGTTGAAGATTGAAATACTGAAACTATATTTACTATTATTTTTATAACAGTAACAAGCTATAAATATGTAATGAAAGACTAATATTTCCAAGCAGAGATCGTCTCGAATTTTCTACGCGAACTATTATAGTTGAGACCAAAATCAACATTTTTTGACTGAACTTTTTTCATAGGAAAGAAAAAAGAGTAAAAAAACCTCATGAAAAAAAAGACACAAAAAATGTCACCACGAGACAAGAAATGCCACATTAAAAATTATTTAATAACAATTCAAAATGGTTAGATTAACTTGTATAGTACTGAACTAGAAAAACATATTATAGAGTCACATGTTGTTTTTACTCTCACTTTTTGTCCTAACAACATTTGCAGAGAACTTCATTCGATTCCCATATCCGGGTCTTCCAAGCACTGATTTGGACGGGAAGAAAGACTACCAAATCTTCCGAAAGAAACAACAAGCATACCTTTTGATCAATATGCTCCGTGTCGACCCACAAGGCTTTGTCGAGAAATATATGAAACCGGTAGTTGCTGACGATTCGTGGCGACTCCTCTTCAAAACTGAATCGCTCCGTCTCAAAAAGTTCCCGGACTATTACCCACTCTACCAAGACGCGTTACTTGAACAAACTGCGTCCCACGCACGACTTGGCGAGTCATTTGCGAATGTGAGAAGTCGCTTGAAAAGTAAATTGCCGGAGAAACTCGATGGCTTCATCCCTGGGTATAAGCCTTTGAAATTACTTGCTCAAACGTTGATGTGGAAGACGAAGACGCAAAACGACTTCTTCTCATATTTGTGCCACGGCTATTATCAGGACTTCAATCACTGCGGAAAGAAGGACTTGGCGCTGTCTGGGTGCAAAGCCGATTACATCAACAGGAAGACCCCAAGAGGACGAGTTAGATTCTTATTACGCCCGTCCGGTGCTGTCGGGTGCAATACTGTTAACACCATTGTGAAGGACGAGAACTTGTTTGCGTGTGATGTGACATATCCCGACTTCACTCCACGGCTTCGAATCAAATCCCCGATGGTAGCAGGCAATTGGTTTAACACTGGTGTTGGGAATAGTCGGGTCTATGCTGTAGTTATTCACGTCCCAAGACACGAAATAGTGTCGAAAGTCCATTTGGTTGTTGACGGGAAGAGAATTGAAATGCCGTTGACGCTTCAAAATGGCGTTTCAAAGGTGTATTCGATTGCTTACTCCCCACTGAAACATACTCCAAGTCTGATGAAAGGGTACTTCTTCCATGCCGTCATCAATGGGAAGAACTTCTTCTACCCCGCGCAATACTATTTTGACTGGGAAGAGAATATGAAGTTGGACACGAAACAGAGATACAACGGGTTCTGTAAAGTCCCCTTCCCTGATCGAACGTGTGATATTTGCGACGACGGATATAGAAATGTCGACGGCCGCTGTGTTAAATGTAACTTTGAGAACTGCGCGCAGTGCACTGAATCTGTCTGCACGAACTGCACGAGAGGATTTATGCTGTCGTATGGAGAATGTAAGGCCAAATGCATGGAGAATTGCGACGTGTGCAGCTATTCCACGACATGCGATCGATGCCATCCCACGCACTTCTCTAATTCAACGAACTCGACGTGCACAATTTGCGCTGAGAAGTTTGGAGAAGACTGCGCAACATGCACGAACGAGAAGTGCTTGACCTTCTTCTGTCAGCACAACGACCCGGAGTGTTCTCATAAACGGACACCAGGGCAATACTACTCTGAGATCACACAGAAGTGCGAGAAGTGTTCTGAAGGGTGCAAGAGTTGTGATTATCACCCCAGCAAAGGGTCGATGTGCACTATGTGTAATGTTGGCTTATTCTTAACTCCCGAAGGTGAGTGTATTCCATGTCATTATGTTGATGGATGTGCGTCTGGACAATGTGATGGGAACAAGTGTTTACGATGCAAGAAGGGCTATTATTCCATTGGGAAAGGATGTGTCAAGTGTGAAGAAGGGTGTGGGAACTGTGAATCTCCATCAGGGAAGTGCATTGATTGTGCTTACGGTCACTTTTTGGATGAAGAGTATGGGAAGTGTGTTGAGAGCATAGAAGTTGAGCATTGCGAGAGGAATAACACGAATGGAGTCTGTGCGAAGTGTAAAGCTGGCTATGGGTTTGATAAGTATCACAAATGTGTCACATGTGATGCATCATGCAAGAAGTGTACCTTTGCAGACAAGTGTGAAGAGTGTAAAGAAACGTTCTATAACGATCATCAACACTGTATTCCATGCTCAAGAAGAGGATGCGACTTGTGTGACGCGAATGAATGTTTCTCATGCCAAGCGAACGCTTATCTCCACAATGGAGTTTGTGTCAGAGGACCCCCGGGATGCTCGTTATGCCATAACAAAGCTCCAGTCTGCAAAGTCTGTGAGAAAGGAATGAAGATGGAAGATGGGCATTGTGTGCCGGACTGTGATGTGAAGAATTGTGCGAAGTGCAATGGTGATGAGAGTTGCCGCTACTGTAAATCGACATTGAACCCATTCTATGGGTATGAGCCTGCTCCAAATAGTTCTGAGCCATGTCCATTTGTGTGTGATCCTGTTGAATTGAATTGTTACGTCACCGAGAAGATGAAGAGAGGAGAGGTAGACGCTTGCTTCTCGTTGGGATGCAAATACTGCCCACCACACACATTTAGAAGAAATCACAAGTGTGAGAAGTGCCCGAACAACTGTGCTTACTGTTTGAATGAGAAAGAGTGTGTCAAGTGTTTGCCCGGCTTCTCATATTATATGGGCGAATGTTTTGCTTGTAACAAGAATGGTACTTGTGGTGAAGGAGAGTATATGGACAAATGCACGTGCACCACTTGCGCGAAGAAATACGCCAACTGCAGAGCTTGTGATGGCGATCAATGCATCGACTGTGCCCCTCATTTCACACTCTCGGAAGATAAGAGCCACTGTGTCCCATGCACTAAGAAGACATGTCCTATCACTCCCCCAGAGCCATGCCGTGGTAAAGGATGCAATCCAGTCCATCCAGACTGTGAAGGAGATTGCCCAATCGATCCAATTACACCAACTGATCCTGTTAACCCACCAACAGTTACACCAGTAGAACCAGTCGTGCCAGTGGATCCAGTTCAACCCGAAGAGTGCACTGCGACTGCCAATTTCTCAAGAGTTGGTGACGAATATAAGTTTGATCCAATGTGCGTCCAAAAGGATAAAGAGTGTTATTGCACGAAATGCGCCTGTGGGTATGAGTTGTCCGTTGAGACACACGTCTGCACTGAGTTGCCAGAAAGCAAGAGAATTCCATTGTGCTGTGAAGCCGAGGACGGATGTTGCACAAGATGCCCCGGTGGATATAAATTAGGCAATTGCAAGTGTATTCAAGACTGTAAGTGTGGTGAGAACGACGATGGGACATGCAAAGAGACTGTTGGTATTGATAACTGCAAGACTGTTGGCTGTGACAATGTCTGCACGGAATGTTTGAGTGGCTTCTATTTGAATGGAACAACGTGCTCAGCTTGTATGGGTAATTGCACCAAATGTGAGAATAACAATTCGTGTGTTGAATGCGCTGATGGCCTGTTCTTGAACGAGACTACTTTGATCTGTGAGCCATGCAAGAACTGCTCAGGGAAGTGTGATTCCACTGGTCTTGTATGCACCAAGTGCACTGTTGGTCAATACCTCAACGAGACTTCTGGTGTTTGTGAGAGTTGCCCAAGCTGTGAGGAGTGTGTTGTGAACGAAGGAAAGGTGTACTGTACTTTGTGTGCTGATGGAAGTGTCCCCATCGATGGTGTGTGCACTAAACAAACCACTTTTATGAGGTCCGCTGGTGTTAGAGTCTCCGTTCTGTTCCTTGTTGCCATGATCTTTGTTGCGATGTTCTAACCATTTAAGTTACAATTGTTTCCCTTTTTATTTGCACTAACACTGATGAAATAACTCTCAGAATTAATAATTAATAACATAACAAGTTAAAATGTCAATTACAAAGTCTCTGATGAATGTCAATAGACGGAAGTTAACGTTTGCCTTCGACTGAATACTCATTGCACTTATATTCAAACGACGAGCACACCAAAGTGACGTCGACGATATCAGGAGTCACTGTCCCTTCTTTTGCAATAGCCGACAGGATCGAGTCTCCACTTTGGAATTTAATAGTCTTGCCATTCACCACAAATCTCGGCTCGAAGCAGTTCCACGGGATGTCTGATGTGAGGTTAAATTTGACGTCGCTCCAATCGCTATATTCAAGCTTCTGGGGGTATTCAATAGACCTCATCATTGGGGTGGAGACATCGCACTTGAATGTCGGTTGGAAGACAAAGAGACACAAGCACGCGATGAATGACGCGACCAAAGAGACTGAAAAGAACCACTTAAATGTCTTCTCGAGCCATATTCGAGCGATCCAAATGGTGATCAGAATACCCGAGTAAATACAAAGAAACATTTGAAGAAGGGACCCAATGAGTAAAGTCAATGCCAAACATGTCACTCCAATGTTTAAGATGACAAAGTGCCCAAATTGCGATTTCGAGTTGAACTTCCCTCGCGGCGCAAACTGGAAACTTGTCCAGAAGCACAGCGAGCTCACCATAAAGAATCCCCACATGAATGGGAAGCTTCCTTGCAACGCAACAATGACTGCCAAGAGTCCGAAAAACATCCCACACCCCGCACAGTATATAGGTGGTCCTAATGAGTTTTCATCACACGACTTGACCTTCTCGATCTCTTGTAACGTCGATTCGGCAGTTGAAATAAATCTTCTGACGGAATTCGTCTTGTTTTGAACGTCTTTGAGTTGCGCAGTGATTTCTTTGATCGACTCGACGATGTAAGGCAACAGTGAAAGCGGGTCTATCGCTAGAGACCCGTCCGTTTCCATACGAACAGCGTCGGGAATGACTTCCTTGAGTTCTTGCGCTATAAATCCAAATCGCATTTTGTCGTCACTTAAATACTTGAACGACTTCCCCGATATCAAATTGATCTTTTCAAGTGCTTTGTCGATGTTTTGAATGTCTCGTTTGTATCGCGCGTCAGACCGCTGGAAGAATCCGTTCTCCGAAAAGACCTCCCCGAAGACGTGGAGTCTGCGAAGGTTTTGATTGACGTAATACACTCTCACAAAGTCCTCTCCGCACGAATTGATTAATTCGTAAGTCAGTGGATTTAACGAAATTGGGTTTTGCGTGAACGCATTGATAGGGTTTTGTGTGAAAGATATTGAGTCGGTTAAAAATGGTTGTGTTGTTGTGTACATATTAAGTTGTCGTGTTAACGGATCACCGCATTCGACAATACCTTCATTCTTAATTGGTGGCGTGTGAATCATTTGGGGTGGACTCGATGACTGCGCGACACCGTCTGAGTTTGATCCGTCATTCGCGTCGATCTCCATGTCGTCTTGGTCAGACGCTTTAATGGTGTCGTGAGGCAACAAATCGCTGAAGTCGTAAGGTCTTCGTTTGCGATTCGTCACAGCGTTCTCTTCAAACTTCAAATAAGGCAGACAGAGTTCGGTCGCCGCCTTTTTGTCTTTGATTGTTTTAAACGGCTCGACCGTCTTATTCAACGCTCTTACGTGCATGTCGTAGATGTGAGAGAGGCAGTTGTATTTTGTTTTCAGGCCTTCCTTGCACCCGGGGTATATGCATCGGTACTCTTTAAATCTGACTCTTTTGACCTTTGAAGAGTTATCGAGCGTCTGTTCCATTCTTCTTTTTTGAGTTTCTTTGTATGTCACAATCATTTTATTCATTCAATGGTCTTCACTTTTAGGCAAAGGATTTACGAGTTATTTATACTTCAACAAATGCCTTATTTGTATGACTCCTTTTTTCATATGTGTAAACATTCAAAAAAGTTTTTAATCGTTTTCACAGGGCTTTGCCCATTTGAACCCTTTTCTGTTGATTTTTGGTCTTTTGTTTGGAATGTGGCAGTACCTATTCTTTATTATAATGTTATTATATCTTTACCATTCGAATTGAGTCGGTGATGAATCATTTTCATACGTTCAATTTGAATGTTCTGCTTCTAAACCATTTTTTTTACCGTTATAATACTCAAGCTTCTTATGTTCCAGTGTGATTTCAATTATTTACCGGAATATAATATTAATTTACTCAATTGGTACTGAAATAGATCATAAGTAAGACTGAATTTACGACGTGAGTTGTTCGATAATGATCTGCTTCTCTGTGAGCTTCTGGAGGAACGCAAGTTTCATGATTTTGTCCTTCACTTCTCTCATAGGCAAATGAAGCTTCTTTCTATATTCCTTGCAAGCGTCCGACTGATCCAACACGTTGCTCTGTTCGACAGCGTTCGCAACAGATTTTTGTACCTCCAAGTTTCTTTGCTTTGATTGTTGTGATGACTCAACATTGGTTATTTCCTTTCCGAATCTTTGAATAGCGATATCAGTCTCATTCACCAAATATCTCACAACGTCGAGCTCCTCATCTTCATATTGTTTGTTCGGCAACATCTTTTTCAGTTGTGCGGATACAACAGTATACTTCCTTTGCAAATTGAGTTTCATTTCTCTTCTGTTCTTATCGACCTTTTCCGCCTCGACGGCCTCTTGTTTCAGTAACTGAGTGATCACATTTTTATATTGATTAATGAAGTCGTTGACATCGAAGAAGCATCTCTCGTTCTCGGAGTATTCCGTTATCTCATTCGCCCATTCTTTGATCAACTTCTCTTGTGTTTCAATGTAACTGTCTTTGTTATTAATCGCGTCGTTCATCGCGGTTTTGAACTTCTCGATGGTCACGTCATATCTATTTCCAGAGGCCAATGCAAGTCTGAGTGTCACGTTGAATCGGTTGTCGTCTCTGTTGATAGGAATCTCCTTTCTGATATTTGGTACGATGAATGGATACACTTTAAAGTACCTTTCCATATGAAGTTGTCGTATAATATGACTTTGCGACATCTCCGGGAGTCCCGCCAAGAGACTTCTTGCTTCTTTCAAATGTTTTTCCTTTTCAAAGTGATTCATTAAAATGACGTTCTTCAGTTTGGCAATTAAGTTGTTTGACTCGGGGTCAACTGCGCGGAGTTGGTTGTTCTCTGCAAGTTTCTCCTCCAAAGCCGTCTGGAGTTGGCGTTCGTCTTCTTCGAGACTCAAGATCTTTGTCTTCAACTCGCCAACTTGGATCTCTACGGCGGAAATCACATGAGGGAAACTGATGACTGCGGACGCTGTTAGTAGTAATAGACTCAACAATACACAACGCATTTTGTGGTTAAAATTATGATTTTGCAATTTTTTTTAGTTCATTTTTTGTGTGAAGTTCTGAGGTAATTCCATTTCAATTTTTCGGGAAGTCGTGATATTAGTATATTATTAATAAATAGTTATTTTACTATATTTTATAGAATTTGTTATTAATTAGCATGATACTATATAAATAATACTTCATTGTATTATTAATTACTAATTGTTTTACTATATTTTATAAAAATTGTTATTAATTATAATGATACTATATAAAAACCACTTTGATGTATTATATATTCTAGTTCTATAGATGGTAAGGAAGTGACCTAAATATATCACTGAAATTAGAAGCTTATTAGTGTGTCGTACAAGTCTCACCAACACATTCAGAAGTAGCTTCCTTCTCGCGCAGTTTCAAAACTTCACTATACCGAAGACATTTTCCATTGACTGGTTTGTAGAATTTGTATCTATCGTCGTACAAGTCTCGACATGAAGTACACTCTTTTCCATCAGATTCGAAGCAACTTGCTATTTGTTAGAATAATGCATTGATTCAATCGCGTTTTGTTAAATTGGGGGAGCTAAAAACAAACATTCACACTGACCAAACTCATTAAGAGTGTATCCGCTATAACACTGTGTACATATCCCTTTATTCTCTTCACAAAAAGCACACGCTTTGTCTGAACACAACTCACAACTTCTTGCAGCTCGTATTGTGTAATCATCAACACATGAAGTGCACGTAGTACTGTTGTGTGTACATCCTTTACATTTCTCGTCACATGCTTGATGTTACTTAGACACCACTTATAATAAAATAACAAACGATGACACTTGTAATCCTCTCCCAAGTAAAATTCAGTCTTGCACTGCACACACTTTTCACCTTCTAATGTCTCACAGCCATCACTTTCAACACAAAATTCAATGTCTTTCATTATAAACCCCTTCTTGCATCGTATACATTTGGAAGGCACAGAGTCATACAACAAACTGTGTTCGTGGCAATGCGTCAAAGCACATTTTCCTTCAACAAAAGAGCAGTCGTCGTTGCATTGTCTGCAGCTGTCAAAGTCTCTCCCCTCACATGTTGTCTTACTTTCCTCACTGCACTTTTCACATTTAAATTCGCCACTTTTGTTACTTAAAAATTCATTTTGAGGGCATTTTGTGCACTCAGGAATTTTTAACTTGAGCATCTCGCACCGGACGTACCTATTGAAGTTGGAATAGTCCGGGACTCGCTCGACGGTTTTGGCGCAAAGTCCATCGCTGTTGAGTGTGTATGGGTCGTAACACATTCCACACGTCTTTCCTTTTGTTACACTCATACAATTTGGGAAATCCATTTCTATGTGTTATTCAAATATAATAGTAATAATATACTATACAATAGTATTATTATATTAATAGAGAAACAAACTCTGACAAGTCCCATTTTCTAAGAAATAGATATCTCGACACTCTAGACATGGTGACTTTGCAAAGAGTGGGTTAACATATGTATCACATCCTATTATAGTTTGTATACATGTGTTGTTCGACAAGATAAATTCATGATTACACCACTTACACTCTTTAATGTTGCCGTCACAGTCTGTACATCCATTGATTTCACATTCTATTTGTTATTTATATGTTATTTATTTTATAATTGAAAAACAATAAAAGAACAAACTTTTGCAAATGTCATCTTGTAATGTATACCCTTTGTGACACACTTTACAATGCCCTTTGTGATATTCCTTGCACGCTAATTCGTTTTTTATACACTTTCCGTGATAAATGTGGTATCCATTATAACATCGAAAACATTTGTTATTCTTAAATGTTTTACAATGTTTCATAACATAGTCTCCAACTATTTATTACTTTATAATTCCCCTCTTTTTTAAGAGAACAAACATAAACACTTACCGTCTTGCAATAAGTAACCATCTTCACAGTTTACACATTTTCCTTCTTCACATTTATTGCACTGAAATGTGTCACATGAGAGGTCGATTGAAAAGACAGCAGAGATGAGTGCAAAAAAGTACATTTTCTGATTTTAGAGTTCCGAAAAGATTGAAAAAGTCGAATACAATTCAATTTTCGTAAGAAACTTCTTGTATAAAACAGAATTAAAATTTATAGTTTATTTACTTTTCAGGTATAGTAACTCGAAGGCACAATTAGAGTAACAATATTTTACTATTAACACTACGCAAAGAGAGGCATGGAGCAATCAGTATTGCTTGAAATGATGTTGTCTATTAAGGACACAGTGGAACCAAATAAATTTCCAAAGACGACCCCAACGTACAAAGAAAGTGACACGACAGCAACGGCAAGTCTAGGCTCGATATTAATAAGTGAGTGTTCGATCGCACAAGCAACTAAATACCCGTTGATCCCACTTAAGAAGAACCCTAATATGCTCATCATTAGTTGTGACACTTCAGCTATATCGATATCCCACGCCGTTGAAAAATACACAAGAAGTACAACCACAAGAGTTATAGCGGAATAAATGACACATGTTGTAAACACAAATTTGACTGGTGGAATTTTGGGGAAGAACTGGAGACACCTTCCAAGGAAATCACCAACAGAAGAGACTAAACTGCACACCAAAATTCTTTTTCCGACGATTTGGAGTTGGTGGTATTCGTAGGCACTCCCAAACTCTTCGCAGGCAAACCACCTGTAAGTCGTAGAGAGAAATCGCGGGAAGAGCATAAAGGAAACAAAATAACACAGAAAAATGGTGAGAAGTGAATACCTAATTCTCTTGATAATTTCAATAAAAGTTTTTGAAGGACTTTCTTTCATTATAAGTGCTGTCTCACTGTCACTCAACGACCCGGGAAAGTTGATGTTTTCTTGAGACTCCAAAAGACTATAATAGCGGTTGTAGACGGTTAAAAGTAAAATCCATATTATTACAGCTAGCAGTGTAATTAAGAGAACTATAAAGAAACTATACTGGGCGTCGATTTGGGCCAAAGCCAGGGAACACGCTACAACTTTCCCAAACGATACTCCCACAATATATGCAGTTGTGTGTTGGGCACTGCATGAATAACTGAAGTTAAAAAAGATCACAAAATTGCAGGGAGGTAACATACAATTCAAACACTCGATGATAATGTAGAAATACTCCTTTTTGAAGTCGCCAGAAAAGTCAACACAAAAGGTGACGATCATACAGAGAAGCGTTAAAAAGAAGTTGAACAATAAGACAAATGTCCCAAAAGCTTTGTAATGAATGGTAACCCTTTCAAGGTACGATATAACTATTAAAACAATTAAAACTAGTGTCCCACCTATTGCAGAAACAAATCGAATGGCAGTGGAGTACCGACCGATGTCACTATGAACTAAAGAATTGAAGAGCAAAACATAGTTTGTACCAAAAATGAAACTGAACAGCATTGTGACAACATTCGAAAACGTCGATAGACCAAAAACTCCAAACGCCATTGACAACTTGTTTTTGAGTTTATAACACATTTTTTAAAGAATATTATTAAATAACTATATTTAATAAAGTTTATAAATAACTATAAAATAATAGAATTTGTTATTTATAAGAATTTGTTGTCTAATAATTAACTTTGTTTTTATTTTAATATATTTTCAAAGTATTTTGATAAAACACACCAACAACAATTTATAATTTAAAATATTACAAATAGCGGAATTAATGAAATAACTGGAAAAACCAGGGACCAGACTAATTTTAGCTATTGAATATTAAGCGGATTTTATACAATAAAACGGGCAAATATATAAATAAATGTGTGATTTTCTTATTATTTGGTCTTAAAAGTAGTTATTTTTCGGGATGAAAAAAAATGAATGTGTTGTTTAAAGTATGAATAAACAACAGCTTAATGTGAGTTAGAATCGTAAGTTTATTATTATTTATTGTTATTAAATTATAAAATATTATTCTTTTGTTCAACCTTGTTTAACTTCAACACAACCATTCAATCAAATCGTTCATTCATTTTTTCAAAGATACCAATGTATTCTTTTCTATTCACTCGGTTGATTTGGTGAGTCACTTTTCGTTCAGCATAATGCGGTTCATGAAAATAAAGTAAAGATAAATAAATTATTGGAATGTTATAGATTCAACAAATAATTGATGATTATTAAACGTATTAAACAACGGAAGATAAATCAATACAAAGAACAAACTTTACCTTGGCTCGGCTGGGCATTAACAAATAAAACAGCTTTGAGTTATTAATTTAGAATTTCATATTATAAAGTTTTTTCTATTTTATTTAAAAAACAGTGTGTTTATTAATAGTTGGTCCCTGGTTTTTGAAAATAAAACAACATATCCTCCAAAACCCCGATTATTTGGGGATTTTTCTTTGACAAGGAAACTTTATACCAAAAATAAAACAGCTTAATTTAGTCTGGTCCCTGGTTTATGATTTGGTCCCTGGTTTTTCCTCTGTGGATATAAAATGGAAAAAAAGTCACACCATAAAGGGGTGGAAAAACCACTTCAGGAAAAAACGGCTTTTGATAATTTAATAGTAAAATGATATTATGATTATGATTTATTGTATAGTTTATTTTTTTCCTTTTCCTCGATTTGATTCAAAAAACAAGGTTTACAAAAGTCAGATTTGTGAACCTTTACTTGAATTTCAAATAAAGTGAAAAATAGCGAACTTTTTATTAATTATTTTTTCAATTTTTTGCAGAAATAAAAAACTCAAAAACACTAACCCGCGAATGTACCTTTTTTTCACGCCCCCTTTTACTCCTTAATAGTTTTTTTTCATTTTTTAATCGTCCATTAAACAAATACTCAACAGTCAAATCGATTTCTTCTCGAACGACATAGTAAATATATAAGCCAGCACGTGTTTTTAATAGACCACTTTTCAATGTCTCTCAGTAAATATAAAATGTACATATTTTTCACACACACTCTCGTTGGATTCCACATTCGCTCAGAAATGCATTTTACTGCCAAACTGAAAAATCGAATTTTGGATTTACTCACCAACTGAATGTAAGTGCATCCATGCACAGCGGTTTTTCAAGTGCATGTCAAGCAATAAATAAATGACTCGTTATTTCGTTGTACTTGTTTTTTGAAACTTTTTACAAAATAAAAGTTTATTAAAGTTTACAAAATAAACGAAACAATAAAACAAGTAAATAATAGTGAAACGGTTTTTACCACCAGCCAAAATGCTTGCCCAAAAGTGCATTTCAATATAAGTGTTGAAAATATCATTAAGACAATGACTATTATCAGCCCAATATGTAATTAGGATGATATAACACCAAAGTGAATATTTATGTGTTATTTATTTTAGAGGTGTTTTATACTTTAATTCACTAATTATAAAGAAATGATTATCAACAACTTTCTCATTATTTGATGGATTATATTGTTTATTTTATTACAGTAAATATATGTAACATTTTGGGATTTAAGCACACACTTTTAAATAAAAGAATAAAATAACCAAAATTATCAATAAATTTAATATAATTTATACTATAACTTGTTTTAAAAATTAAATCAAATGGTGGGTATGAAAAGTAATGAAAACCACTCAACACTTGTATAATTCAAAAGAGATACACAACGACAACCACGGCTTCGATACTTGGTGTCAAATGGATCAATGATCATTCTGTTCAATTTGAGCACGAGTAAAATGATAATTATGGTTTAAGTTTTTATTTAATAATAAATTTACTAGTTTTATTACTTTTTTAGATCCAGAAATGGTTAAATTATAATAATAAATAGTTAATTTATTATTTAATACAATTCCATTTTTATCTTTTGCAATGTCATAAATTATAATATAAATCATAGATTGACAACATATTAAACATTTAAAAACAAAATTATTTTTCATTTGACAATATCCAAGCAAAATAATAAAACAATGCACTAACTTTACTAATAATCAAAATTTACATAGTTATATTGTTTTATCGCAAACATGATCTAAAAAATGTAAGTTTTTTTTTTACCAATTATAAAGGTTTATAAGGAGATCTCCAAAAGCGACAACATCAAATTATCTCGTTCATTGCAAGGTCAAAAAGTCTGTTTATTATGTTTAACATCATCAAAACCATTTAAATAACAACTTAGACTTGAACTCATGTGTTTATGTAAACAAAACAAAGCACAAAAAACAACAATAACAAAAAGACTTAATATAAATTACTCTGAAAATAAAAAAGATAATGATGATGATGCAAACTGCAAAAATGATAATTTGGTTTGTTAATTCAAATGATACATAATTTACACACACTGCGATAATGACACTAAAATATTATAATAAAAATTAATTAAAAATTTATGTATATTTGGTTATATGTCTTACTATTGTAAGCTGTTTCCCGTTTTCTTTCAAATAAATTCTGTAAAAAATTGGCTTTTCAAAGAAATAAAAATTGACTTTAGAAGACTTATTCAAAATACTTTAAAAATGCTCAAATTAATGAAAATTATGTTGTTATCTTTCTGTTAAAATAAAAAATAATAAATAAATACAAATAAAATTTTTGATTACAAAAAACAAAAATGACAACAAATTATTGAAAAAAATTATTTCAACCAATATAGTTAAAAAATTATAATTTAAATAAAAAAATATAAAAAAATAAAATTACAAAAAAATAAACTTATACAAAATTCATCAACAACAAAGCTATTTCATTTTTAACAAATATTTATTTTTTACAATAAATTTACTTTTTAATAGAATTTAATTTTTTACTCTTTTTAGATAAAACAATTTTTATATTTATATTTTACATTCTGAAACAATTTTTATTATTATTATTTTTTATTTTTGTTCATATTATTTTAATTCAAACATTTCAATTTGGATAATGTAACAAGTGTTGCAAAAATTTTCATTTTGCGTTTTTATTACTTTTTATTTTTTTTTGGTAAAGGAGGCAAATATTGATTAGTAATTTTTCCTGTTTTACCTAATTTCTTTGTAATTGTTTTGGTGTGTTATGTGTGTATGTTATACGATTTTTTGGATCATGAGTATTAACATTATATAATTTACTCGTAGTTTTAATTATTATGTTTAAAATGATTATTTTTATATTTGTTTTTTGAATAACATTCAAGAATTGTTTTTTTATCGAGTTTTTTTATGATATTTGTTTAATAATATTATGATCTTTAATATAAATTATATAAATTGAGTACATTATTTATGTTAATTTTTGAATTATTTAAAAAGAGTTTAAAAACACTTTAACTTTTAAAGAATTTAATCTTTTTTAACGTAAATTTGCCCAATCTTTCAGTAAATGCATTTATTTTCTAAATTTTGTTAAATTTTAAAAAATTTTATACTTTTTATTAAAAATTCAATCCCATTAATTGACAATTACTTCATTTTAAAGAAAAAGCGCCTTAATTATTAGGAATTGCGTTTTTTATAAGAAAAAATCTTTTTTAAAAATAATACTATCCCATTTAATTTATTTAATCCATTTTATTGGGAATTATACCCCTTTCACATAATCAATTAATGTCTCAAAAAAATGGTATCAATTTTATTAAAAATTATACCCATTTTAGAAAAAAAACAAATTTTAACCAATAATAATTATATCCTTTCTAAACAAACTTTGATTGTAACAATAATACTATGAACAAAATAAGCTATTAAGCTTAAAACTGTGGAATTTCATATGAAAAAACTTGTTTTTATTTTTTTAATTGCAAACGGGCGGGAAAAAAATACCCTAAGTTTGTTTTTATAATGAAAAAAGTTCTCATTTTTTGCGGTTTTGTTTATTGAAAAAAAATATTTGTTAAAATGATGTAAACTTATAAAAAAAACAAAAATACCATTTACAATCAATTTTACAAGATAGAATTTTTTTTACATATAAAAACAGAAAAAACAACAACCACCTCAAAAGAAAGAATTACAAAAGGAATATTACAAAGATGTGTTTGATATTGATGTAAAGATGATAAAAAATAACTTTCATTTTATACCAGTTTGTTGTTACACATATGATGAAAATGATGCATTAACGATATTTTGTGTTATAACACAAAGTAGAAATAGCACATATTAAACAAAAAATAATTTTAACTACCTAGTTTTTGATTTTACAACACTAAATTTTTCAAAATAAAAAAATGTATTAAAAGAATGACAAACACTTTTGATAATCTTATTGTTTTTTGTGAGTTTACTTGATAATAGTTGTAAGTCCAAATTTGTTGCTTTAAATCTATTTTTTTGAAATATTATAAATAAGTTTATGATTGTTTAATTGTGTTGTATCAACGATAAAATTTACATGATATTTTTTGATGTTTTTGGTTATGCGTTCTTATTATTTGCCAAATCATTATTTTCAATTTCAATAACAAACATTAAGTATTTGCTGTTGATGGTTTATTATATTGACACAAGCACAACAACAAAACTATTATTCTAAAAAAACATAAATGATATTGGAGTTAATTTTTTAAAAAAATAGACCAAAAGTTTAGTTTTATTTTCCATTGTTTGGTTTTAGAAATTTTTAGTTTTTAGTTTTTAGTTTTTCAATTTTTCAATTTTTCAATTTTTTAAAAATAACAAATAATGTTTTTTAAATTTTAGTAATAAATATTATATTTTACTATAAATTAAAAACAATCTAGACTTTAAACATATTAACAAAAATAAACCATTAAATTAAACCATCAACAAAATTAAAAGTAATAAAACAATTCTGGTACAAATTGATTGGCTCCTTAAATTGTCGTTCTTTTCTGTAATACATTTTCCCATTGTAGTGCAAACAAACCCGTCTCGACACCGCCCACAAACTGGTTCACACCCAACTTTCCATTTGCTCATTCCAACATCCAATGCTGTTTCATCTACCGTGCACTCTGTATCAGAACAATCGAACGAACTTTGATTGCATTGAAGTAATTGTTGTATTTCTTGAATAGGATCAAAGATGGCTTCTTTTATTCTTAAAACACCTCCAGGCACACTTTTATATTGAATTGTAATTCCATTAGAAAACTCCTTGCATGTCTTGTCCATCGCAATTGATAGAGTAACAGTGTCGTCAACTTGATTGTATTGATATGTGAGGTTATCTTTGATAGTAATAATGCCATCATCTTCGGTTGTCGTTTCCTTATCTTCTATAAGAAATAATTTGACATTGACTAATTCTATTTTGAAGTTCGCTTGGAATTCACATCTGAGTTGTGTGAATTCTTGTGACATAAAAAATGCAGAAGTGTATATAAAGGATAACATGACATCGCCTTCATAATTGTTGGTGGATATTACCGGATTTGATAAATCAACCGTTTCAGCAGAAAAATTGGCATACACTTTGTATAGATGCCATGCAATTAGTTTTTGCTTCCAATTGTCTTTATTTTCTGAATATAAAACATTCGATGCTATAAATTTACAATCGCTCATTATATATTGTGGAAAAGAAGTTGTAGCAGTTGCTGTATATCCAACTCGTTCGTAGACTGTCGGCATCCCAACTTTTTCGGAGTCTAAAGACACCAGTTTAAAGTCAGTTGGATTCAAAGGCCGATCTATAATAAAAGTGTCATCGTCTCTTTTGGTGTAAATGTGTTGACTCATTTCAATATACTCGACGGGTCTGTTAACGTTATATACTTGTACTGTCACGTATTTTTCGGTGACATTGAGCACCACCACACTTGGTGAGATTGTAAGTAAGTAATCACATATAGCCACAGTCGCTTGGTACATAGAGTCTCTCACATATGTCAATTGGCCATTTCCAAGCATAAAAAGTTTGCTTTTAAGTCCAATTACGTGTTCTCCGACATCATCAAGGTTTTGGTTTTGGTTTTGGTAAAAATGCTTGCAGACCCAGCTACCATACAATGAACACTTTTCTGACTCGGACCAGTAACACTCAACCATTCACCACATCGAGTCACATTCAAATTGTCTTTCTGGATGAAAAAATTTGAAGGACTGACATAGCAAACTGCTTTCAAATTAAAAGCAGTGATATCATGTTTATAATTTAGAATTTGTTTGTAACACTCTGAAACAATAGTGCAGGTTATGTCATTGGAGTCCATGTTCACTGCGATAAAATCAGTCATACAATTTGTTGTTTTTGAAGTTGATCCAAATGAAAGAACATTTAATACAAATGTTAATACAATTATACACATTGCCGTTTTATTAAGTTCGTGTTGTAATATATAATCTTCTGTTATTGTGGATCTGCGATGTTTTGCGATTAAAAACGTGATTCAATTCACAAGTTTTTTAATGAGTTATAAATAAGTTATTAACAAAATATGACATCTTTAAATATGTATTTATAATAACAATATAATTATTATTATTATGATGGACTGTTTTTAAACGTTATTTAAAAAAATAACTGTAAACAAATGGATTAACATTGAAATGTTATTAGAGTTTTAAAGAAAATTGATTATTTTATCTCCGATTTTGTTATTTATGTTTTATTTTTGATATAAATAATATTAATTGTACATTTATTTTCAAAATAATACGAACAAAATATACAAATGACACAATAATACACAAATTATAAACTTGATGATATTTTTGAATGAAAAAGTATGAATTATTGTTATTTCAAATTTAAAATATATATTTTTTAAAAAAGATTGTACAGTCATGCGAAAAAGCTGTCGCGTTTGGAAAAACCTGTCTTGAAAAAATATTTTATAGTAAATTTATAATTACTTACTATACAGTATAGCTTCTATTCGATTTATTTGCAGGGTCATTTCACAAAAATCGAATAAAAATATTCGGCATTTCCAAATAACATTTTCTATTTCAGATCATTTGTTTATAGTACTAGAATAGTTCATTACCACCCGAGACAGGTTTTTCCAAACGCGACAGCTTTTTCGCATGACTGTAATTAATCAAAAAATAAAAAAAATATAAAATGTTTTAAATGTTATAATAAGTATAAAAGTCTTATTCAATTTAATTTAATAGTATTATTATCAATAGTGGAAAAATGATGAATTTAAAAAAACTTTATTTTATTTTTGTGTTTTTGGCATTATAATTTTTAATGGCGATTCTATATTTTTATTTAGTTTTAAATTATTACAAAGACATCTATTCATTATAAAAATATAACTATTTAATGATCATATTTTTATTAAGTGATGATTATTAAAACATCAGTGAATAGAAACTGTAATATTCATATGTAAATACAAAAATATTATATAGAGTGTAAAAACTGATTAAACAACAATTCACAACACTATAGTGAGTCATCCAAACTTTTCACTAAAACAACTTTTTTTGATATTAAATACTCAACAAAAATTTATTTGATTATTTAGACTGATTGTATTTTTGTAATAGAAAAAAACAGTAAAAATGTTATAACTTTAAATTCACAATAACAAGTTATTTACCATAGTTAGATTAATTTTGAACTGAACACATTAAACAAGAAAACACCCCTTTGTTTTTTCCTTTCTGACCCAATTGCTGTTCTTTTTAACAATCACCAAATGAGCAAGACTTTGAGACACATTTTTGACATTGATGTTGAGCTTTGCAGAACACTCGAAAAATGGCATGCCCCATTCATTCGCCAGTTCCTCACCGTTTTCTGTTGTCACTTCTCGTTCATTTTCAAGGTCGCATTTTGTTCCACATAACACTGCGGGAAGTGTTTCAAACATTTTCATTTTTTTCATTTTCCAAACACTCTCTTTGATGACTTTAACTTCTTCAAAAGAAGCACTCGATGTTATTGAATAACAAAAAACAAACGCGAGTGCATTTGGGTATTGACTTTCTATTGCGTATTTATACGTATCCATATCGTAATCTTCTCGACTAAATGGCTGTGCAATAAAAAATAAATGGACCTTGTAATTATTTAAAATCTCAACTGTTGAATACATGTCTGCCATTGGATTGTGTTGGTAATTTGGTACAAAATGTCCGGTACATATTTGAATTTCAAGGCTTGACTTTCCCACATAATCACCACCAACTACCAACACTTTGCACCCAGTTTCAATGTTTTTCATTTGAGTTTAAAGTTTTGTTAAACAATTTTAATATTTTTATTAATTGTAATATAAAAATAACAATAAAACCATATTTTAGTTATGATTTATTTTAATTTAAATTTTCAATCATTGAAAAGTGTGAATAAGCTCATCCACAATAATTTTAAATTTATATTTTAAATACAATATCATAGTCCATTAGTTGTTTTCTTTTTATAATTTTTATATCAATAATATTCTTATGTGAATTATCAAAACGCTGTTTTTAAAAATGATTATTATTAACATAATAATCAAATATAAAAATAACCAAATGATTAAAAAAATCACCAAAGTTATTTAAATCCATTTGAAAATAATTGGTTGGGTTGATTTCGGAAAAACATGGGTCGTGTTTGCCCAAACCCAAATGCTCGATTTTGTTGAGCATTTTGGTTGTTCTGTGGTAATAATTGTTTATTTTCAACAATATGAATATTTTCACAATTATCAAGTTGAACATTTTCATTTACTTTTATAGCAACAGAACACTCTTTACAATGCTCTAATACAACATGTGACGTCTCACTTTCGATATTCAAAACAATATTTTCGCATTGTTCACACTTCACTCTCTCGGCATTAACGTTTTGTTGTTCTTTAAAATCAGTGATATTTCTCTCGATCAATTCATCTGAACATAGAGAAAATAAATTCCAAGGGATGTGCGAATTGTCAATTTCCATTTTAACAACGGCATCATTTTCAGAAAACTGTTGACCACTAAAATTGTCAATTGTTGTGTTTTTAATTATCATCATTTCTATTATGTTTCCAGGTTTTGAGTAGAGTGTTATTGATGAGTCGTAGATTGAAATTGCCTTATTGGCGCCATCTAAAATAAAACCCAAATCTACGCACTTCTTAAATATGATATTGGGTGCGCCAAATTGAATAAGACCTCCTGGTGTTGGATTAATGTAATTCACAAGTTCAAAAGTTCCACAAACAACACCACACAAATTTGGTAAACTCCCGCAATAATTTTCAATTGTAAAAAAGTTTAAAATATCAATTTTTTGAATCAAACAAATCGACTTTGTAGGCGAACAAACACAATTTCTTAATACAAAATTTAGATGGTCGATCACAACATCTTTTGTCTCAACAGTTTCAGTTTTTGTGTCCAAATCGCGCATGTTATTATTGGCCATTTTTGAATATGATGAGACTAATTTATCTTTAGCTGTATTGTATTCTTCATTAGTCATCATCTCAGTGACACAAACATTATCTTCATTGCTACTTTGAACTTTGTGACAAATTGAATTGAGTTTTGATGGAAATTTGAAAGTTGAATTATTTGAAACAACACAATCTTTTATTGAGTCAAAATTGCCAACAAATTGAATGTTTTTAGAACTGTTAAGTGAAAGGGTTTCCAACTTGTTTGTTTCAAACCAAAACTCACAATTGTCGCAGTAGTCAACTTTCAGAGTCGTACAATTTTCAAAAGTGTTTTTGAATACGAAATTGTTCATGTTGAATAAATACACTTTCTTAGTTTCTATAAAACTTATTGGGATGAAGTCTTTGATTGTACAAAGTGTTATATTCTCTGCACAGATTTGATGTGAAGTTGTAAGTTCCGATTTACTCACATTCAAATTTATGACTTTGTTGCACACTGCCGTTTTGACACAACTGTCAAGTGTTAATGAATTGATAACATTCAGGGTTGTCACGCTCATATTTTGGCAATTACTAAAAAATAATTTCAAGTCTTTGTCGTTCAAAAACACGAAATTTGTATTTGTGAACATATTGAAAGAAAAATCGTTGTGTTCTTCTGCGTCGATTGTCACCGTACAATTATTCAATTGAGTCATATTAATATCTTTGGCACAGTTTTTATTCACAAAAATGTCACAGTTGTTTGTGTATACTATATTTAACTTCTTCAACTGTTTTAACATCATAAAGTCAAATTCCTTTCTCGAATTTTTAATCAACATTTCTTCAACACAAACAAATGGAAAATCAGGTATACTTTCCCACACTTTTTTAACACTTTTTCCAGTAGTTTTTACTTCACAAGTAAAGTTTTCGAGTGACACCTTTTTCACCGAAGGATATATATCATAGAATGTTATTTGAGTGTCCACACAAACAACTTTTTTTACATTTAATATCTTTGGTAGTGTAAACTCGTTAGTATTATTACCCATTTCCATTTCGTTTCGTGGTTCTATGTATTCTATTTTCAAGACTTCAATTGTGTTATCCAACTGCATTTGTGACATATCAATTCAGTTTCCAACAAACTCTATTTGTGTCGGGTAACAATTACGAATAACAGTTTCAAGTTTAGTCGTCTCTTTCAATTTTCTAAATCCCGTTGTGTTGATTGTCAATAAACCATTGTTACAAATTGGATGGAACGTGTCTAATACATCTAAAAATATTGTCGAAGCGTAATTCTTGCAGTTTGGAGTAAGACTGACATATTGATCAAATCCATTTTCATCAGACCAATCAATGTATATGTCACAGGAAAGTGTTTTAACGGCTTCGTTAATCTGCTCAAA